TGATGTGGATCTCAAGGGAATATCATTACGCGGCATGCCGAAACAAGTTGCGGCATTACGTTTTGTTTGGCTGCAACCACCAAAGAGTAGATGGAAGCCTAAGAAATCCTTCTGGCTTTTATACCCATATGCTCCATTTCAAGTATTATGAGATACAAAAATGATCAAAAGCGGTTTACCCTCTGGTAAACTAACAGTTTGCTATGAAAAATCACCATCTTTAATAGGTAAATCAACTACAAATGGGAAATGTTCAATCACCAGAGGGTATTCCCTTACTTTTGGGTCCTTTTTGGGATAAATGTTGGTAGATATTCCATATGTGGAGCATATGGAGGTAGGTTTTCCTTCACGACAAGGCCGGAATGGTGTGATCACCTACGTCCTCAACCCACCTAAGCAGCGTTTTTGATAGCAACTGCTGGTCAGAGTCCAGTGTTTTTTGGGTATAATTACTAATCATTTGATGGGGATGTGATGGGAACATAATGATTATGGGGATATTTTGTGATATTTATGGGATATTCACCAACTCAATATAATTTGTTGGGTTTTTCTCAGGATGGGGGATTTGCCCCCAAATTTGTCGCAGAAAATGAGGAATTTGATGCTAGGCTGCTAGACAGACAGGAGTGGTTCCAATTTCAATTCGACATCTCTAGCCCCAGGGAGGAAAATCAATGGGACCTAGCCGCCCAGGATGTTCCAAAACCTATGCCTTTCGTGGTGTCTTGAGACTGTTTGGCTAAAGACAACCGGAGAGAAACAGATCCTGTTTGGGAGAACATTTCACGCGCCCTTGCCTTAAAGGCAAGCGGTGTTTTCTTGTGGCCAAAGCGGCTGCAGCCTTTTTGGGGTTCCATCTACAGGTCGTTTCCCAATAGGTACAATGACCACAGCAAGGTTAAAGAAATGAAAAATCCTATCAGCATCCTGTCAGCAGTTGGAGAAATGACTTGTGAAGTTGAAGAATGTCTTTTGTGCCAGCCAGCAACTGTTCTTGTCATGACAGATCCAACTGCCTGAACGTCGGAACCTTTCACCTCTTCACTTTTTTGCACCCTTTGAGGAAGCAAGGGGTGCTGGCGAGATTTTTTTTCGGCCACACGGGTTTGGGAAGAAAAGACGGCGACACTGAGGTTCGTGATAGGATTCTTCCATTTCATGAAACCGCTTTTGGGTTTGGGCATTGTGGCCTCCATGCTTCTTCGTTTTTTCAGAAAGCGGTTTACAGTTTGTGTCATGTTGGTCATAAAATGAGATATCCAATGTTTGGCGCAGGTACTACCGTATATCCAATTATTACATAATATAAATAGATTAGATACATACATGAAAAAATGTACGTATTGTATGCACACCATTTGTGCAGGTTCTATCCTCGATTGCCTTTGGAGTTTGGAGGGAGTTGAGACAGTCAGCCTGTCACCATTTCTTTTTCGGCCTTTTGAGCCTCCTCAGTTTGCATGGCACCTATCAGAATTCAAGCCACATGAGTCCTGCAGATGATAGATGCAGATCATGAGGAGTTGATCGTGCCCCGCGCTTTGCTGCACTGCAACGCAGTAAATCTGCGTTCGGAACCTGGATTTTTGCGCGGGTTTAGTGGTTGAGTCCTTTAGCCGTCCCCCAAGATCACCCAAATCGGGCCGCGGAAGTTGTCCAAGAAATTCCCACCATTTGGTAGAGTTGGGTAAGCAGTTTCTTCACACTGAGCAGATCATGTAGAAAAAGAACAACCTCGCCGCCAGATCCCATTATGCCATTGGTCGCGTAGATCCCTATGAGCCATGCCATTGGCCACGTCACATGGCGCGCTGCTTGCGGTTTGGTGCTGCTTGCATGTCTTGTGCCATGCGCCAGCGCAGCAGCAGTGAAGAAATGGTCGGTGTTGGGACCCTTTGTCATAGGAATCTCGGTGATGAGGTCGGGAATGAACCATCAATGAAACCGGGGATACAATGGTGACATATGGCAATTATATTCGGTTTGCGTGGATTGATTGGTTTAATTTGATAATTAATTGTAGGGAATTATATGGGGTCAATATGGAATTATCATCCAGAAGTAAAGGATTATGTACAATTAATCAGTCTATATATGTCTATATTAGTGTATATACATATAATATATATATATGGGTTCAAAACCTTTGATTTGGTTCAATATTAAACAATATTCAATATACATACTTGTTTAATAAACGAGTATGTGTGTTGAATATTATGGTTTCAAGTGTTTTATTTTCAATAGAGATGGGATCATGATCCCCAATGACTTTCATTTTCAGGGGGTTGACATCACCAACCGAAACCAGAGAAAACGGATCAACATTGACTGGTGAAGACGGGTGAAATCGGATGCCTTGCTGGGTTTGTTGAAAACGGTGGCCCCGCTTTGCCGTGGCGATGGGAGTGATCTACGAAAATGCTCAACCTTGAGCGACTGTAGAGGCGTAGAGGTTGTATGAAGTTGTATGATTGCTGGAGATAGGCAAAGACCGTCACCAAGCCACCAGCAAGATGGTCCAAGAATTGTGTCAAGCGAAAGATTTCTCATAAACCAACACCATGAGACATTTAATTTCAGCGTTTTAGTTAGATACTTATCCAAGAAACTGTAGAACAATGAGATTCATATCATATCTAGCTGAAACAATGTGTCCAGGAATAGCCATATCATGTAGGTTTCACTCAGAGCACCTTTTTTTTGGTAGGCTACAAGGCACCTTTTGGTAGTGGGCATTTGAACAGCAAAAACGACCGAATGACATCACAACAATACGGATGACCTGGGTAAATTTGATCACGACCAAACCCTGGAATCATGGTTTATTCTAGGGAAATCATCCCCAAATGGCCGAACTTTTCAGCTTAGTGAAATATGATCATTTACCCAGATATATAATGACACACACACACAGACACAGACACAGACACAGACACAGACACAGACACAGACACAGACACAGACACAGACATAGACATACATACATACATACATACATACATACATACATACATACATACATACATACATACATACATACATACATACATACATACATACATACATACACACACACATATATATATATGTACGATACCATCTCTTAAAAACACTCATCTCCGTGAGTCATCTCCCCGCTCTGTTAAGGGAAGAACGAGTTGGACGGCGAAGCCTGGCGCAGCTCCAACTCCTCCGAGCTCGGCGGCGCAGCGCTGAAGAAGTTCGTGGCGCAGAGTGGTGGCAGCGTCGCGGTGTCGTGGCCCGAGGCCGGGGCCATGGGGGGATGCTGATGGCCATGGTTTCAAAGATGGCTACCCTCTGGTAAACTAACATAGCTATTGAACATGGCCATTTATAGTGAGTTTTCCCATTAAAAATGCCATAGTTATGTTAGTTTACCAGAGGGTAAACTATGAGAATTATGGGAAGATGATGGGACGATGATGGGAAAATGATGTGAAGATGATGGGAAAGTGATGAACATCTGAGATAACAAAATTGGTGAAACGTATTGAGCAGTCCTAGAATGAAGAGAAAGCAGGTTTGAATGCCATTGAGGTCCAAGGAAGGCAGTTCAACAAGGACTAAGTTGGAGGTGCGTCCAACTTATCTTTTTTGTTTGCTCCGAAAACACCAGTGATTCGCAGGTCGATTGGCAATCCTTGGTGAATGGTGTGGGCGGTCATGAGATCTTGGAATGGCAAGCCAGGGCGGTGGGTGGCTTCAAAACAGAAGCTGCGCAGCAAGAAGTTCTGGGTAAATGGTTGAGATGTGTTTTGAGGTAATCCCCCTATAGGGGTTGAATGATCATCATTATTTTCTGGTAATTCCTGTAGGGGTTGAAATAACAATCTTTTGTTTTGGGCATTTTTTTTTGGGTAAACGGTTGAGATTACCACCGATTGCCCGAAAAAATGTGATTGCGAAAATATGGAGGTTTCCTCAAATAGGGCTACCCCTAAATCATTCATTTTAAAAAATAGTGATCGTATTTTTCGGATTTTCCAACAAAACTCCATCCAGCTATGGATCCCCCATGACTTCGGAACCAGCAACTCTCCGGAAATCTGGTGTCGAAATCAGCCGTACGAACCAGGATGGGGCCCCCAGTTCGTTAGCTAAGTTGGTTTAAGTAACTATAACAATAGTGTATGATACGCAAAATCAAATAAATATACCCTCTGGTTATTTAACATAGCCATGGAAAGATCCACCATTTTTAAGTTCGGTAAACCATCTATTTCTATGGACCATTTTCCATAGCTATGTTAGTCATAACCAGAGGGTATTTAGGGGATATAAGCCAACTTATAACTAGGGGGGCCATCCTGTAGCAATGGGGGGTCAGTCAGGAATTTCTGAAGATCTTGGCCCAAATTAAGCACACAACGGATTCAGTCACTTGAAATTGGTTTGAGTCTTTCATAAAGTATTAGGGTCTGTTATAAAATACCAATGTCCAGTATGATAGTTTTATATACCTGGTTGAAATATCAATGTATCATTTCCACACACACATATATATAGACATAATACACAACGTTGAGATTGATTTTTCAAACGTTTTTCCCATCAATATCCCCAGTGCATTGGTTTCTTTTGCCCGAATCCTTCAGCCTGTGGAGTGGGGTGTCCCAACATGTCCCAACATTTCAGGTTGGTGAATCATCATATGTTTTGCAGATATGATGATACTGTGGATGGGCCAGCGAAATCCGATAAACCACCAGTTTTGGATGGTTAAAACATCTTAAAACCCTATAAATAATGGGATTTTTACCATCTATGAACTGGTGATTCGGATTTCGCTGGCCCATCCACAGTATGTTTAATCAATAGCCAGCAAATATGAAAATAAACATCCTTGCTTCAATGGGAATTTCAGGATCCTAAAATGGAGGTACTGTACCATATAAGGCCATATTTTGTGGGGATATTCCCTTGCATAGGCCTGAAACATAGGCCTTATATACGGTAGGTACCTCCAATGAATCGGTTCCTGAAATGGCCATTGATTGGTACAGAATTTCAAAAATTCTCAATGCCCAGCGAAACATCAAGTACAACGTCTCCAGATACCATGCAGAGAACCCGCAGCTCTCAGGACGGAAGCAACGTCCACATCAGTTGCGTCCTGGTGGTTTTGAGGGGTTGACCGTTTGGGGTTTGTCCTTTGGAATGTGGGAATTAACCAACAAAACTGGGAATCAGTACAACTCAATATGAGTTGAATGTTTCTGAACATGTATACATCCAAAATGGGCAAATGTAATGGAGATGATGAACAAATAGAGGCCAATGGAGTGGAATACTTTATATTTTGCAGAGTCTTAAGGTGTTTTTTTTCAACATCTACAACTTGTACCTGGCCCTTGAAAGTGTGGATAATTTTCTCCAAATGATGTCCCTTCATTGCTGGTTGTTTGGTGATCACGATTTGTCACAACCAGTGCGGGTAGATCATGGCAAACAGACACCTTAATTTCACAAAAACACTTCGAACACTTCGATGCTTGTTGATTGGGGTCCTAGTACTGAGATACCCTCTGGTAATTTAACATAGCTATGGAAAATCACCATTTTTAGTGGGAAAATCCACTATAAATGGCCCTTTTCGATAGCTATGTTAAATTACCAGAGGGTAGCCCCTGGTTCTCGTTATCTCATACATATGAGAATTATGAGGTTTTATCACATATTGTTGCTGGTTCATCACATTCTCTCGATAAAGCTGCAATTTTGGAGTTATGCCGCACTTTCAACACACCTAAAATGGTATGGGGGTTCCATATCTCCACTATATCCCCAGTATATCCCACTATATCCGCAGTATATCCCCACTATACTACGTTGGCCTCTATGATTTTTCTTGTTTGTTCTTATCCTGAGCATTTGTGATTGTTTTGCCTGATGACATGGCCTTCTGCGGACACCTGGGGTCAAAACTGAGGACAAGTCATGTCCTTCATATTTTTGGCAGCCGTTGAAATGCCCACCTAATATATGTATAAATATATATATGCCTGCTATATATCCCCATTGCATCCCTATTGTATATGGAGGTTTCCCTGAAATGGGGGTACCCCCAAATCATCCATTTTAGATTGGGATTGTCCATTATAAACCATCCAGCTATTGGGTACCCCCCATTGATGGAAACCCCCAAAAATCTCTAGCACATCCCCAGTAAAAAAAAAAACATACTTTACTTCGAGTGATCAAATCTAACAACCCTCACCTGGCAGGTGGGGAAAAAACATATCATCTTTGGTTTTTACCATGGTTTTTACCACCATTGTTGCTCTAAAATCTTCCCCTCATGTCCCAGCATGTCCCAGGTCAAGGCGTAACATCATTCACCCTGGACGATTCTCAGAGCTTTGTCGGGGATCTCTATTGGGCCAAGCTGCCTGCGCACGTGGTGGGCCTCCCAGCGTCGATCGGTCGAAAAGCCGAAAATGTTTAGATCAGAAAAAGCCGAAAATGGGTAAAGGTATAAGAAATATAACAAATTATGGGGTAACATAATACCAATTTTTTTATGGCTACTTTTTCCAGGTCTAGGTACACACTAATATTCTGTACATTTAAGCGACGACTCTAACCCAAATGATTAGTATCCACATGTTTGGATTCCCAGCTGATTCAACAAATGGACCATCCACCATTTGTTGACGACGTGTTGATGTACACTGTAGGAACCCAGCAAGAATTTTTGGGATTGAGTTTTTCGGTATTGCAAGTTATATAACTGTTTTGGGCAGCATGTCATTTTTTCCTGGGTGTGGTTCGCAAGAGTTGGTGAAGTAGACATCTCAACAAGCGTTAGGTGGTCCTGGGAGTTCGATAGCTCACGGTTTGGAGATGTTCGGATGACATTGTGAGTGCGACCAGGAGCCCATCCCAAGACTTGTTGGACCTGTTGGATACTTATTTTCCATCCTGGTAATCCAGGGTTTGATTCAATGGATTGGTTTAAGGGAACATTTACAGGAAAGCCCCATATTTACTGGGAAAATCTATGGTTTCCTGTAGATTTTCAATTAAACCAATCCATTGATTGATTGCCAGAGGGCACATCCCAAGAAATGCATCTTCATCACTCACCTCGAGGTGAAGTTAAAGGCTGGGAACCATCGCATCTCGATTCGCTTGCGGGGCAAGCTGCAAACACAGTTGCTTTGGTTTTCAAAGTTGAAGGATTTTGGGGTTTCAGCCGGTGGGATAAGTATGTCATGTGTCTTTCCGTGTCTTTCCATGGTTTAGTGTAATTCTGGGAAACTGCCGGATGAGATAGGTAATCAAGATTAATCAAGGGAGAACCGTCTTCCAGATCTGTTGATCCTTCCTGGGATGATTGACTCGGGACGGGTTGCTCAATCAGCAGGCTTTGGCTGTGCCGCAAAGCACCGAAATCCACGTGAAAAATGTGAAATGAGTCTTCACCTTTAGCACATTTCGAAATGATTGCGTGTTCAAGACTTGTAGTGAAGATTCAGCCCATCAAAAGGCAAATTATATATAATGATTTGACGTAAGTTGAAGTTTAACTTTTCTATACAGATTAGAATGGAACACATATACAATATATGATGATATAATATCCGATGATTTGAAGAATATTCCTATTTGTGTTCGTTTGTGTTCCCTTGGGTTCTTCTCTTTGGGGTTTAGTGTTCCATGGTTTACATCTTGCAAAAAATCATGCACAAGCGCACTAGTTGTAGGGTGGGGCATATGATATGTTTGTTGTGGCATAGAATTTCTATGCCCTCCAGGTTGATTGAAGCAAGACTTTTCTATTTTTTTCCATGAAATCAAGATGAATTTGATGATCTATTGGGAGATTTTTCTTCGTTATTCACTCATATTCAATAGGAATTTCCAATTTATAGACCCACAACTGGTTCATTTCCCAGAAATTCCCGGCCCCCCTTTCGGGGCGCTGGCGTGAGAAATCCCAGGTTCGCTTGTCATGTCGAGAAGCCGAGCTCCAAATCGCCCCTGTTGCTCTTCGGTGCCACTCAGCACAGCACAGGGGAGGGTCCTCCGGAGGAAATCAACCTGCACAGATGATTTATATGAGCTATGGTCAATACTCATGGTTAATAACCATTAATAGGGGCTAGTCATCCAATGGTTCATAGGGATTTATAATAACCATTATAAGGATCCTTATTATGGATGGGATGACCATCAACCATATAGTGAGTATTGACCATGGCTCATATCATGTGGGTAAAACAATGCCATTTGCACCATGACTGGGAATGGTTTATACCACCTGTTTATGGTGATGACTGGGGTATGGTTTATGAAATTATTTTACGCACATTCGTGTGTATAGATCTGCAATTACGGGGATTTTCCATGATTTTCCTGATCCGCACGGACCTGTTTACCACAGGCTCTTCTATGTCGCCGCATGAACGAAAACAAAACAGCAGCAGCTATGATCACAACTGCATTTGTTTTCCACCCTTCATCCACGCCGCCAGTTGCCGATTTGGCTGGGATTTTCTTCCGCAGTCCTCCCCTTAGCCCAACTGATTGATTGGTAGGGAAAGTGTCCCTTGAATTCAAGTCTTTGATTTGTATCCTTTTGTAGCTTTTCAAATTTCATCACTTATATCACTGGTGTCTTGATTTTTCACCACAGACCTCATCAAATTTGCAGTTTCTTCCAGCAACCAGTGAGAAAAAACAATCAAATTCCATCAAAATTTGTAACTTTTCAGATTTCATCACTGATGTTTCCTGATCTCCCAAGGACAGCTTCGCAGCCCTACCAGATGTGATCAGCTCGCCCGACGTTCCGCGAGGGATCCAGATCTGCGGCGATCTCGGGCTGGGTTCGGCGAACCAGGCGAGGTCGGGGCCACCGGCAGATCCAAAAAAATTAGTCAACTTGGGATATATACAGTAGTGGGACAATAATATATATATATGATATATATATATATGATATATATATATATATTGGATCTATATATATATAATATAATATATATATATGATATATATATATATCATATATATATGATATATATATGATATATATATATATGATATATACATATATACATATACATACATATACATATATATATATATATGATATATACATGTATATGATATATACACCTATACATATATATTTAATATATAATATTTGGATATGAAAAGAATCAGTGGTGATTTATTTGGGATACGTAGTGGGATAATCCCTACGAAAGGGTTTTTTACAAAACACCGAATCAAAGGGGTTCCCCAATGGACAGCCTGGAAAATCTGGTGCTGGGAACCAAAGTATGACCCATTCAGAAAATTCAGGTGAGTTTCTTCCAAACCATGAAAATCAGCAAAATGACCAAAACATACCAAAAGCCTAATTTTGACAAAGGGGCGTAAAGTGACAGAAGGGGCCTAAAGTGACCCAAAACATGGGAGGTACCGTTCTTTTAGGAACTCAGGGGTGCTATTATACACATATCTTATATATCAGGATATTGGCAGTCTATAGGATTGAATTGTAATATGTATGTAATAATGAAAACGCACTAATGTTAACCCTGGGTTAATATAGGCATTGGTTTACTAACTATGGAGGGCACCCCGGGTTGATTAATCCCGGGTTGAGGAAATAATCCGCAGATTTATTGGAGATACAATGGGATTTAAAGGTGTATATACGTATATACGAGCTCATATATATGTATAACCATAGCATACTGTACTAGTGATTAACGAAATTTGATGGGATATGACTAGCCTACGTATCCAATTTGGGTATATCTGGATGAATTATGTTGTAACCACACGTCGCAACCTGACCGGTAATTGGCGCTTAGGACAAGGGAATCATTCCCAAATGGCATCAAATGGCCGAATCCTTCAGTTTGGCGAATCATTTCAATGTCCGAATGACACGGGGCATATACTTGGAACATCGTGGGGATATCAGCGAGGCCTTTTTTTGCATAAGCAGCAATACAATATGATTTTGGATATTATATATACATATATATATATGTAGATAATATATAGATTATATATATATATATAAACATTTTACTGTATATATCCCACTTTTTTTGCATAAACAACAATATGATTTTGGATGTGTCCCAAAATGGGATAGTCAATTTATGAATTCAGCGGAGAATCATCAACCATGATATTTTGGGATACCCTGCTGAAACACAGAAACCTGGTCATGGATTTTTGTCGACCAAACATGGGGAGCACGACTTCAAGTCGTGAATTGTTCAAACAACACACGGATAATACCCTCGTAATTTAACATAGCTATAGAAAATCACCATTTTTAATAGGTAGACCATCTATAAATGGGCCATTTTCCATAGCTATGTTAGTTTACCAGAGGGTACCAAATCCAAGAAAACAAGACTGATTTGTCTGCGTTGATTTAGTATCCTAGCTGGTGGCTTTTCACGAATATGTCGTGTTTCCATCCAGATGGTTTTAAAATAAAATCCGTGACTTCTGTATTTTACGGCAAGGAAACCACCAACGAAATACAACCATGTGTGCTACCAACGAAGTTGGGGAGAGTCAATCAACATTCATCATTGAAAACAATGAACAATTCACCAGCACAACTAGAATAGAAATGAATATAATATAATATAATATAATACAATATACTATAATCATGTTGACATTTGCATGCTTCAAGATGGGAGTGAAGATTCTCGGAACTCTGTGGATCTCAGGACCCTGATCGGTGGATCAAGGATTTGCGGCCAGTGCTGATCAACAACAAATTTCTGTCGGTCGTCTCGGTGAGAATCCCCTGGGAGGGTTACCGGTTACCGCCATTCATGGCGTGGGGATCTGACTTCATGTACCAAAAAGCACACAGGGATTCCTAGTGGCGCTCTGTTGATCTTGAAAGTCAGGCGGAGAGTGTGTGGAGGATGAACCCACGAATGAAGGGACATTGATTTCGTGCGTTTAAAATATGGCTTACATATATTAGTCCAACCTTTGATACTGGAGACGTTGCCACAGCTCGTCCGAAGGTAGATACAGTAGATGGGCATATGATTGATGGAGAAATATTGCACAAAAGAGACATGGTAATCATGGTAGTCATTTCCTTTTCATACTTAAATACTGTCAAGAAACTATGTGGTGGACATAGGTGGACTATGGTGGACGACTGATTTCTATGCTTATGGCGGAAGCACAGAACCGAACCATCGGGAATACATCGTTGAATCATGGAGTTTCGGATTGTCATGGACTACTGTATATACCCTCTGGTAAACTAACATAGCTATGGAAAATCACCATTTTTAATGGGAAATTCGGAAAATCCACTATTAATAAATGGCCATTTTCAATAGCTACGTTAAATTACCAGAGGGTAAGCCATGCTAGAAATGGAAGTCCCAGTTCGGTAGACTCATGAAAATCATGAACCAAACAACGCGTAAAGAATTTTTTCGGCTGCTGTGAGTTGGAATTTTCGTCTTGTGGGTCAGCATCTCTCATCAGAGGACGCAAATGCTACTCAAACTCCGCCGGTGAAACGATGGAAGAATTGGCCAATGTTCGCCTCGAACATCGTCCGTTGGAGTCACTGTTTTGGATGATCCCCTGAATTTTGATCTCGAAAAATCCATGGTGAATTGGCTAAAAAACTCTATGTTTGATGTAAAGCCCGTAGATCCGTAGATGGTGAAATGGTCAAAATGGTCACATCCCCATTTATGTCATGTATAATCCCATTATACTTCTGTAGATGGTCAAACATTTACTATCATGATCTCTCAGAGGAAGCCAACAGTTCAGTATCTACATCGACATGTCTGGTGGCTTTTCATGGCTGATCCACCCGTGTTCCGTGTAACATCCATACAACCAGTGTGTCAAACTAAACCATCAGTTTTCATGGTTAAAACATGTGGGTTGCCATAGATTTTCCATGTTCTACATGTCTGGTGTGTCAGGTTTCTTTCTTGGAAATGCAGTTCCAGTTACCATCTGGTTATTTAACATAGCCATGGAAAATGGCCCATTTATAGATGGTTTACCTATTAAAAATGGTGATTTTCCATGGCTATGTTAAATAACCAGAGGGTATAAGTGGATATGTTCACCATATTGTTTTTTAGGGGCCTCATATCCCAACCGCAACTGCACCCCCGATAGGTTGGTTATAATTCCCGGGAAACATCTCCAGTACATCCTATTAAATTCCATTCACACACCATGTTTGATAGGTTATATATATATATATACATAGCCATTACCAGAATATCCCATGAACAACTATTATCCAGTTACTCTCTAGGGAACAAACGTATCCACTTTTTTTGTGGAAAATATTTTTTTTGGATACGTTAGCTGCTGTGAACATAAGCTATGATAAATGCCCTATACTTGAGACATGTTAGTTGAAAATCCAGAATGGACATGTTAGTGGAAAAGTTGTCCCCCCCTCTGGGGGTTCCCGGGAAACTGCCAGAAGACTACCGCCCCGGACGCCCCAGCATCCTTATTTCCATACCCCAATAGGGCTCAAATCAAAGACTGCATTGATAACAAAACGGTGGAGAAAAAAGTGGTCCCAACTCCTTCCGGAAGAGCGCATCATAGATGATGCCCGTGGGTGGGCAGGAAGATTGGGGGTGCATTCCAAAAACCAGTTGCATTTACTAAGGGTTGGATGACTGGCCATGGAAAGCGTCCACCTAACGTGTCCGTGTTGTTCAGAGGATGTGGTTTTGAGATATGTGAGTGGTTATTGGCTGAATCTATCCCCCCAAAATAGCGAACATATCCCAGATCAGGGTCGAAATCCAAGGGCCCCAATTGCAGGAACTGAGACATGTTAGCTGTTTTTGGGTCAATGGTCCCAAAAAAGTTGCAATGCATTCCCCAGGAAATCCAAGAAAACGCCGGTACAGAGTGGACATGTTAGTTGATACCTGAAACGGTAGCCCGAGACACGTATCCACTTTTTTGTGGAAAAAAGTTTTTTTGGATACGTTAGCTGCTGTGAACATAGGCTATGATAAATGCCCTATACTAGAGACATGTTAGTTGAAAATCCAGAATGGACATGTTAGTGGAAAAGTTGTTCCCCCCTCTGGGGGTTCCCGGGAAACTGCCAGAAGACTACCGCCCCGGACGCCCCAGCATCTTTATTTCCAGACCCCAATAGGGCTCAAATCAAAGACTGCATTGAGAACAAAACGGTGGAGAAAAAAGGGGTCCCAACTCCTTCCGGAAGAGCGCATCATAGATGATGCCCGTGGGTGGGCAGGAAGATTGGGGGTGCATTCCAAAAACCATTTGCATTTACTAAGGGTTGGATGACTGGCCATGGAAAGCGTCCACCTAACGTGTCCGTGTTGTTCAGAGGATGTGGTTTTGAAATATGTGAGTGGTTATTGGCTGAATCTATCCCCCCAAAATAGCGAACATATCCCAGATCAGGGTCGAAATCCAAGGGCCCCAATTGCAGGAACTGAGACATGTTAGCTGTTTTTGGGTCAATGGCCCCAAAAAGGTGCAATACATTCCCCAGGAAATCCAAGAAAACGCCGGTACAGAGTGGACATGTTAGTTGATACCTGAAACGGTAGCCCGAGACACGTAACCACTTTTTTTGGTGTTTTTTTTGGATACGTTAGCTGCTGTGAACATAGGCTATGATAAATGCCCTATACTAGAGACATGTTAGTTGAAAATCCAGAATGGACATATTAGTGGAAAAGTTGTCCCCCCTCTGGGGGTTCCCGGGAAACTGCCAGAAGACTACCGCCCCGGACGCCCCAGCATCTTTATTTCCAGACCCCAATAGGGCTCAAATCAAAGACCGCATTGATAACAAAACGGTGGAGAAAAAAGGGGTCCCAACTCCTTCCGGAAGAGCGCATCATAGATGATGCTCGTGGGTGGGCAGGAAGATTGGGGGTGCATTCCAAAAACCAGTTGCATTTACTAAGGGTTGGATGACTAGCCATGGAAAGCGTCCACCTAACGTGTCCGTGTTGTTCAGAGGATGTGGTTTTGAGATATGTGAGTGGTTATTGGCTGAATCTATCCCCCCAAAATAGCGAACATATCCCAGATCAGGGTCGAAATCCAAGGGCCCCAATTGCAGGAACTGAGACATGTTAGCTGTTTTTTGGGTCAATGGTCCCCAAAAAAGTTGCAATGCATTCCCCAGGAAATCCAGGAAAACGCTGGTACAGAGTGGACATGTTAGTTGATACCTGAAACGGTAGCCCGAGACACGTATCCACTTTTTTTTGGTGTTTTTTTTGGATACGTTAGCTGCTGTGAACATAGGCTATGATCAATGCCCCACACTTGAGACATGTTAGTTGAAAGTCCAGAATGGACATGTTAGTGGAAAAGTTGTCACCCCCTCTGGGGGTTCCCGGGAAACTGCCAGAAGACTACCGCCCCGGACGCCCCAGCATCCTTATTTCCAGACCCCAATAGGGCTCAAATCAAAGACTGCATTGATATCAAAACGGTGGAGAAAAAAGTGGTCCCAACTCCTTCCGGAAGAGCGCATCATAGATGATGCTCGGAGGTGGGCAGGAAGATTGGGGGTGAATTTCCAAAAACCTGTTGAAAGTTGTTTTTATTTTTTATTTTTTTTGCTATGTTAGTGTTTGGGTTTTGGGGCTGAGATTCAACTAACTTGGCGTTGGGAACGCATGGTGTGACATGGGCATTTTGGTACTAACTTGGCGCGCGTGAAGCATCAAGTAGGTTCAATCGGGAACTGCTTTGTTAGCGTTCGTTTGTGCGCGCGTTCGTTAGGGACTACTTCTTCCCCGTTGTGTCTTCCCCGTTTTGGGGTCGAAGTCCTCGGGCCTGGCCGAGTTGTTTTCCGCTAACGCGCGCGCGCGCGTTGGCGGAAAGGTTGTGAGCCGAAGGCGACGACTAACATAGCATTTGCGCAGGGTTCCCAAACTTCCAATAGTACATCGTAATCATCATGGCAGCAAGTAGCCAGATTGGCAACTTTGACCAGGAGTTTTTTTCCTTATTCAATCGATTATATAAAATTGTTGATTTTGAAGCTTTTTGGGGTCCAGTAAGGTTGAGCCCCAGGAAGACATCCAAAAACAGTTGTGGTTTGATCTCGTCGGCTGGAGACTCAAAAGAGACACCTAACCTAGCAACCAGGGGTACTTTCATTCTAGATTGATTGATTGATGTGTTCGGTTTCCTGTTTTCTAAAACATGTTTTCCGTGGAGTTTGATGCTAACATAGCACTTTCCATTTGGTGGTTCCAAGCTGTGACAAGTCTCCAGACAGCTATGTTAGCTTATTCTGGTACATTTCTTTTACCCACTTCCTGGGGAATGCCAAACATTGGGAGGACGGAAACAGAGGCTATGTTAGCAGGTGTTGGCAGAAATCACCCAAATGATCACTTTCTCCACATCCCCAGGGTTGACAACGTAGCCAGATGCTATGTTTGTGAGTTGGTGCCAGGGCTAAAAAAACGCTATGTTAGATTTCACCGGTGTAAGGGTTAGATGACTGGCCATGGAAAGCGTCCACTTAACGTGTCCGTGTTGTTCAGAGGATGTGGTTTTGAGATATGTGAGTGGTTATTGGCTGATCTATCCCCCAAAAATAGCTAACATATCCCAGATCAGGGTCGAAATCCAAGGGCCCCAAATGCAACTGGTTTTTGGAACCCCACATTGAAAAGGCCAATATTCAGTAGCTTGAGATATTGGAATCTCTTCGGGGAATGACTGCACTTACAAGACCCAATTTTTGTCAAAACACTGTTGTTTTCCCTGAACCCCAAAGTCATGGCCAGCATCCGAGATGAAGTGGCACAGGTGCTGCTCATTTGTTGTTCATTGTTTCCGAATTCCAACTTGCTAACATGTCCCAGTTTGGTACGAAAGAGCACGCACTGCACTTCCAATCCTTATTTCCAGACCGCATTGATAGCAAAACGAGCAGAAAAAAGAGTCCCAACTCCTCGGAAGAGCGCGTCATATATGAAGATTGGGGGTGTGTTCCAGAAACCAGTTGCATTTACTAAGGGTTACTGGCCATGGAAAACGTCCACCTAACGTGTCCGTGTTGTTCAGAGGATGTGGTTTTGAGATATGTGAATGGTTATTGGCTGATCTATCCCCCAAAAATAGCTAACATATCCCAGATCAGGGTCGAAATCCAAGGGCCCCAATTGCAGGAACTGAGACATGTTAGCTGTTTTTGGGTCAATGTGTAAAAAGAAAGTTGCAATGCATTCCCCAGGAAAACGCCGGTATAGAGTGGACATGTTAGTTGATACCTGAAACGGTAGCCTGAGACACGTTTGTTCCCGGGAGTGTATATGCCCATTAAAAACCCATCATAATTCCCATAAAATGAGATGGGATTATAATCTCATATGTCCATCAAAATCTATTACCCTCTGACAAGCTAACATAGCTATTGAAAATCACCATGTTTTAATAGGCACACCATCTATAAATGGGCGATAATCCATAGCTAGGTTAGTTTACTGGAGGGTATATTCCCATATTTCCATCAAATCCAATGATAAATCACATCTAATCCCAGTGTAAATCCCAGTGTAAATCCCATCAAGTCCTATACCCTCTGGTAATTTAACATAGCTATTGAAAATGGCCTATATATTTAGTTCGTTGATTTACCTATTAAAGATTGTGATTTTCCATAGCAAACTGTCAGTTTACCAGACGGTAACAATTCCCATATTTCCATATTTATGGTAAATCCCAGCATATCCCATGTAATAATCCCATTATATGCAATTAAATGCCATTAAATCCAATTCTGGTTGGTGGTTTGGAACATGTTTAATTTTTCCATTCAGTTGGGAATAATCATCCCAACAGACTTTCATATTTTTCAGAGGGGTAGGTACACCACCAACCAGAATTAAATCCCATGAAATCCCATAATATCCAATGTTTTTTCCGATCGGTCGCCAAGGTCGCTGGCACCTGAGCAGCCCAGACTTCACCTTGCGCCAGGGCAAATCACACGCGCCTCTGTGAGGCTCGAGGTGAGGCAAGCTGTTGGGTTATGAGCTTCCAATGAAACAGGTGGGGATATGATGGAAGAATAACCATCAATTACTAGGATTTGTTTAGGAATTCGATGGGTGATTTCATTTTCAGTATGGGAAAATCATGGAAAATCACCATGAGTATGTTTGGAATATTTAGGAATATTAAGGAATTAAGAGGGGGATTTGATCATGAACTTGTTTGAATTTTCAAATATCTTTTATTTCTTTACCAATAGAAATGGGACGATGATCCTCACTGATGCCTGGTAAAACTGATGAGGCAGCGAAACCAAAAAAACACCAGGAGTAGGCCATTGGATATACGGGAAGAAGTGGACTGGTTTTCAATGATATATATATAATTATATATAATACAATACAACAATATATATATATACATGTTATTTATTATACATGTATATGTATATGATATATATATATATATATATATATTTGTATGTATATGTGTATGATATGTGTATATATATAGATACTGTAGTTGGCTAGTGTATATACACCAGTTGTTTGATACTACTTAATATTTTGCCATTTTTTTGGTGATATATAGTAGCCAGCTAAAACAAAACATCTGTTGAAGGGTATCTAAGATTCTAAGCTCCGCCATGATGCATTGGGGTACAATTAAGGTGCCTGGAAATGGCTCATCATTTTGAGGATCTGAAACCATCTGTTGAGAATGGATAGGAATGGTTGTTTCATGTTGTTTCCCATAAGCATGTTGTTTCTGGTAATTGACCATTATCAATGGACAATTGCGATTTGGAACAGGGAATTGTCAATCAACGACGAATTAGCGCTCATCACAAACACAATGTTCGCTTTGAATGAGGGTAAGAGTAGTCTCTAGAGGCAAATAGTGGTTCAATGATGGATGCCTAGTCAGAATTCAAAATCTGGAGACATGAAAAAAGAACACAACAAAATAAATACTGAGCAACCAACAAGAACAGTGTTTGATTGTTTTGATGAATTGGTTGTAATGTGCGGTTGAAAACGCCGTATGTCACGGTCGATGGATTCCAAAGGCCCCAAAGGCCGCACTGCACCGATTAACCCGAAACCATTGGTTTCCTACAATAGAAATGACCAGTCGGTGATATACCCTCTGGTAAACTAACATAACTATGGAAAATCATTAATTTTTAATGGGAAAATCCACTATAAATGGTCATTTTCAATAGCTATGTTAAATTACCAGAGGGTAAAATGGGGTCTTGCATTTTAGCCCCCCCCACATTTCTCCACGTTTCTTATTTTGTACCATACTGGATTTTTGTTAAATGCATCTTTCTATATATTTTGGGCATTTCAGTTTACAATAAGATGATATCTATGCACTAGTCACTAGGAATCAGTTCAATCTACTAGGCCATGCCATGCCGGTTAGGTGGCTCACCACAGGTCCTCCCAGATGTCGGTCCTTGTAAAGATGAAGTCTTCGTCGACGTGGCTTTTGAAGGCATGCTAGGTTACTTGGCCACGGGAGATGCGTCATGTTAGCATGTCAAACATCATATTGCCACATGGTTGGGGGGATGTTTTTCATCAAACATAAAAAAATTGAACATCCCAGTCACTGGGGGAGTCTGATGAAAAACACCTGGGCGCAACATTGGAGGTTTTGACCAGCGCCCGAGGGGTTGGTCTGAATCATCATTGTCCGTCTCAGTTGATTTTTCCATGTTCACATTGCCAGGGTTAAACCCAACATGTTTTTGCGGGACTGGTTGAAATTGGAAACTTAAGTTGATTATTCCTTCTTGATGGGTTCATCCCAGATATGTGCCCAATTTTTGGCCAGCAACTTCAAGTGATCACAATCTCACAATCACCTTCTGGTAATCTTAAACTTGGGGAATTTAAGTCCCTATTTTAAGCCTGTTCAAATATGGTGTGCCCTTTGATACTCTAACATAGCCTTGGAACCTAAATGAAACTAGGTGTCACATTGGTATATCGCTAAATCCTCTACAAGTGAGCCATATTTTTTCGTTAAATCAAAGGGTAACCGGATCAGTCCAGCCGCCACGGTTCAGAGGTGAAGAGCGAAGCAGAAGCGAAGCGTTGCGACTGCGATTAAAGTGTCGGGATGTGACTCGACAAAGCTTCGTGTTCACGTTCCAGGACAGTGACGACTCGGTGACGACCGTCGTGGCAGCTTTCAATTAAGTCCTATCAAGGTTGATGATTGAAAGGGTATATATAGGATTCGGCATTTTGGGGATTATCATCTATGAACTGTGAATTGATGGAATTCCCATATATTTAAGTACCAATGTTTTATGGAAAGACGTTTCGGATTTTGAACACCACCCACAACCACGTGCTGGGTGATTTTTGAGGCCAACAACAGGCACAGTGTCACAGGATGAACGGAGGAACATTGCCATCCTGTGACGATTGACGAGAATGCCAAAAAAAGTGTCACACTAAGCATGATATTCTTTATGTCCAACATATGTTTCTTTAGATGTGGGTTATTTCTTTGAGATATATCAATTTTGTTGCTTTTATTATTGACAAACAACATATTTTATATAAAACAAAAACCATTTTGACGATAAAATCTGGTTGGTGGTTTGGAAAAAAAATTATATATATATATATCCCCATTCTATCCCATTCTATATTCCATATATACCCCCATATATATATATCCCCATTCAGCCAGTCAGCCAGGACGCGGACGGCTCCCTGCAACACGCCGCCGCAGTCCTGCCGTGGGACACTGAAAAGTCGCCATGCAAGGGTCGGGGGGACTGGGGGACATGGGATTTTGCACCTACTCAAGTGGGGGTAGCGTCTTTATGGGGATGTTGATATATATATATGATGTATATATATATATAATGTATATATATATACATAATATAAGATATGATATATTATAACATATTATATATTATAATATATATTTTGCTGTTACATGGGACATTTTTTTGATGTGATTTTGTTTCTTGTATCTAACATGATCTACCGTAAGCAACGTTGGTGTGTTTTTCTGGGTCTGAAATTGGGTGATTGTTCAGCCAGGGTTTTTGTGGTCAACCACTGAAGATGATGTTTGTGATGAAGATGATAGATGTAAAACATCATATTTTTGCTATGCTTCTTTTTTTGACATATTTTTCATAACTTTGTAAACTATCTAATTTTGATATCAACCATGTAAACTATCTAATTTTGACATATTTTTCATAACTTTCTGTAATTCAGTATCATTGGTAACTTAGTTTCATGAAGTTCCTCCTGATGAGGGCCATAGGTCTCACAAATGAAACACACACACACACAGTCATGACCAAGAGAAAGAGAACAAATTATTTTTTTAGATATCAAAGCGTAGAAAGTATAGAGAATGAGGTGTGATGATTCATACAGTTGTTTCCTGTCATTACCCTCTGGTGATTTAAGATAGCTATGGAAACTAGCCATTTATAGTTGGTTTTCCCATTAAAAATGGTGATTTTCCATAGATTTTTGTATGTTTACCAGATTGTGATTTTCCATATATGTGATATTACCAGATGATAGAACATGAAACTGCTTCCCCATCCCCGTTTGGTGCTTGCCATTCCCGATTTGGCAGGCGCTTGCCCGGTGCTGGTGACTCTCTCGGGGACCAGCATTACAGCCCGGGATAGCACCTTGGTGAGATTGCTTTGGCTCCCTGCTGGTAATACACAGGGTGGAAGAAATTCTGCACCACCAACAGGATGGGTTGAAATCCTATAAAAGTAATGGGATAAACCACTGTTTTCAACTGGTGCAGGATTTCTTCCATCCACAGTATGATGTGACTCTTGGTATTCTTTTAAGGACATCAATGAAAACTCATCTTAATAAAGGTTGCATGTTCCATCATTTTCCAATACCAGATTGGAATGCCAGATGCTAAACCATGATCCATGATGTTGCCATGTTTTTTTTGTTCAACCCTTCCAAATCCATCAAATCTATCTACTATTGTCTTGAAATTTTGGTGGGTCAATCATGGACGTTTTGAACAGTTGTTGCCTCTGTCATCCTGAAGAACAGGAACCTTTCTTAGATGACAATGGAGTTTCAATGACGTCCAGTCAAAAAGGAACCCAAGTCATACGTTGGTTAGTTCAGGTGTCTATATATGTTCTGTATATGTGAACATACAAATAGATTAGATTGGACTAGATTAGATTAGATAGATCGATAGATAGATCGATATATCGATCGATAGATCGATGGACGGACAGACGAACGGATGGATGGATAGATCGATATAGATTTATAGAGAGACAGAGAGATAGATGAATTCATAGATACATCATGGATAAGTCATGATAATTCATGATCAATCTACAGATACATTGAATACATCATAACATTGAATTAAGCTATGTGGATAATTTTTATGTGTTTGGCCCAGAGCAATTTCTCAGCGCGGTTTTAGGCGCAGATGCCTACAAAATGAAGTGCCTTGGCCTTGGAACGCGACCTTGGGATTGTCTGAAAATGTTGAAAACATCAACCAATGATGAATGGATTGTGAATATATTGGAGAAATGTTGGGAAACTGTTGGGAAAATGTTGGGAACATGTTGGGTTATCAGCGTTTGCCTTGGATAATGATATATTTCATTATGCTGTTTTGGGGCATTGTGGCATTGATGTTCGACATCCCCATTTCTTTCTCAATTTCCAATCAATAGCCACATCATTTTTTACGGTATCTTGGAAGTTTTGTCGGTGATGCAAATTGCTAGTGCGGTTACATGGTCACCAAATGTCTTAAACATTCTTAAACCCTACAGAAAAGTTCGCTCACTAAAGAGGTTTTTAGTCAGCATCAAATTGTGCGATGACATTAAGCTCTTCTAGAAAATATGTTCCTCCATTTGTTTACAACTCGTGTGAAAAAATGTCCCAACCTTTGCTAGTGCAATTTTGGCAACAAAAACAACCCTTCGCCATGCCCAGATGCTCCATTGTGCTGGAATATTTACCTACAACACTGGGTCATTTTTGGGGTAAATGATGCAGGTTATTTAACATAGCCATGGAAAATCACCATTTTTAATAGGTAAACCATCTATTTCTATGGGCCATCGAAATCCCATGGCTATGTTAGTCATAACCAGAGGGTAAATGATGTAGATAAATATTCCAGCACCATGGAGCATCTGGGATGACCTGCAGGTTCAATGACAAGGACCCGGAGTATCGTTTCGGCATTGAGGGTGCCTGGCTTTTGGCTCCCACCCGACATGGGGCCCATAACTGGGAAGGCGGGACGGCGGCTGAATTTTGTGGAAGGGAACTCAGTGAGAAATTGGGAGTTCACTTTTTTCGGTATAGCAATCTATACAATGTGAGACCCCCCAGTTATAAGTTGGTTTATAAGCCCCAGTAACTATAGTTATAAGTACCATAAACCATAGTTATTGGAGTTATAAACCAACTTAGCTATCTTGGGGGCCTCACATTGTAGGTATAATACCAATCCAAAACAGAAAAGTTAGACTAACTAATCCCTTTTGGAACAGCAAGGTATCACAACCGATTTCAGTCGGATCTTACATGATCGCCCAGGCGAGTCTATTGGGATGATCGTTAAATTCCCCCATGGCTTTGTAGCATGAGATAGTCATTCTGGGTAAATTATAACATATTATAACGACCTCACTGTTCTCCCTCACTGGAAATCATAGTTAGTAAGGGGAATCATCCCAAAATGGCCTTAATTCAGGTTACCCTCCGGTAAACTAACATAGCCATTGAAAATGGCCCATTTATAGATGGTTTACCTATTAAAAATGGTGATTTTCTATAGCTATGTTAGTTTACCAGAGGGTAGTGAATGATTATAATTTACCCAGGTCATTGCCCACCGCGAGATGGCTATGGCAGCCCTGCGAGATTCAAAGCATTTCGTGCCTGCTGTGATTGACATCCTCATTTCTAGTGGTTAAATCTCTATTTTATTGCTTATATAAGCCCAATTTTTTGGCCACCTGAATCACCATTTCATACCCTTTTCTGCTAAACAATGGGGCTACACTATCTAGAAGTTATATAACTTGTTTATGCCCTACTATATAATCCATGCAAACATATTGTTATACCTCCCCCGTTTTCTGATTATATAAAGTGTATTAAACATGGCAATTCACAAAAACAAGTTATCATGAATATACCCACTTTAGCTTTTGAACAATGAAAGAACTAATTCAAAGAGTTTAATCTTATACAGTATATATTTATGCATTAGCAAAACATATTAGTTTAGTCATCTGAGTCGTATGGTTATCTTGTATCACCCTCAGATGACTCAGATGACTGTGACTTAGAACATCTTTATAAGTAGGAATCTTATGGGTGTAATTAAGATCAATAACCATTGTATGGATCTTGAGTTAAATTGAAACTTAAATTCCCATTAAATACTTTTAGTTCCCATTAAACATGCATCAAAATCCCTTTAAAATCCCATTTTCTCTATATTAAAATCCCATGAAATTTCTCTAAAAATCCCATGAAATCTCCATTCACATCCCCTTAAATTCCCAATGTCCACTAAATCCCTATTCAAATTCAGAAATAGATTTATATACTAATTCCTGAACAATAATTCTATCACCAACAAAAATCCATTCAATTCCTATAGTGACTATTGATCATCAACTAAGTGATACTTATTATTGATACATTATTAATAGTGACTACTATCACTAAGTGTCACTATTAACAGGGGGCTCACTATTGATACACTATTGATGGATACTGAAAATATGTATCACTATTGATACACTATTGATTCAATGGCCATTTCAGGATCCTAAAATGGAGGTACCTACCATATATACGGCCATATTTTGGGGGATATACCCCCAATTTCTATGGCCAAAAATATGGCGCTAACGTACCTCCATTTTAGTATCCCGGAATGGCCATTGATATATTGGGAATAATAATCCCAACTGACTAAAGGGGTAGGTATACCACCAACCATTGATACACTATTGATGGTGATTACTATTTTTCAACTAAGTATCCATTAAATATCACCATCTTCAGGCCCTGGCCGTCGCACGGCCCTGTCGGCTCTCGCCGCCCTGCCGCAGCTTGCGCAGCGCTTGGCGCTGCCGCCGGTGGACGCGTCACGGGTCGTGGTGGCCGGGCATTCCATGGGGGGCCACGGTGCATGGCGCCTTGGGAAAAAATGGGGGGTTGGTGGAACTCGGTGGATGTTCATGGGAATTTCATGTGATTTCACGGAGATTTACTGTGATTTAATGGGATTATAATGGGAATTCAATGGAGATTTAGTCGAATTTTAATGGAACGTTAATCGAAATTTGATGGAAATTTGATGGGATATAACCATTGGATAATTGGATTTGAATGGGGATTTCATGGGATTTTAATGGAGACTGCCTGTTTCAACCATCACTTTTACTTATGAATACTTATGATTCATAAGATGTTTGATGATCTGATTTATAGGGGAGAAGTACCATATGTTTTTTTTCATAGTTTGATATAATATCTATATCTATAATTTTATGTATTTAGCTATGTTTTAAGACATTTTTTCACAAGATTGGGATTTAAATGATCAGCAAACTGCGAATTGCGACATCAACAAAGGATAGAAATTGGATATACATAATCGGATAACGACCATTGATATTTCAGGATTTATAGGGGACATTCATCGCTGGTTGATGGTTAGAAACTCTCACTGCGGCGCGACATACTTTCTGATAATCAAACGTGGCTAGCTGGAAAATCCTAGTTTTCATGGCGTATTAATGTGAACATCATCTATAAATTTGTGATTTTCTGGTAAAACCATCTGTAAATTGGGGTTGTAATGGGAAAACCATTTGTAAATTCGGATTGTAACGGGAAGACCATCAATATATGAATTTCTTGATTTGCCGTTGCTATGTTTGATTACAGGAGGGTAATGGAAAATGGTGGTGTGAAACTTGGTATGCCATGTTTGCTCCACCCTCTTGTAATCAAAAGGGGCCGGCTGGAAAATTCATTGTCTATCTTCCGATTAAAACCCCATTTGATTTGTAGGTATACTCTACATAAAATATATCCCATCATATACTTTGTATTCCCATTATGATTAGTATTATATCACTATTTTTGTTGGTTAAAACCCCATAAATCGACTCATATAGGATGGTTGTAACACTATTTCCATACGGATTCCCACCTTCGAAGGATTCCCATTGTGGCATGGATGACCTGCCACAAATACCCCATGGGAACCCATGCTACTTGACCACAGCACATGTGTCTGCTGTTGGTCAAACCCTGAAATTGTTAGATGCAGAACGTTTTTTCTTTTTTTAAATCACATTTGAGGTTTGCTATTTGAGGTACTGATTGATGAAAAATAGTGATTTATCAAATAGTGAGAACTGAAAAGGATGATTTGAGGTTCGGATGTCACTTTTCAATCTTTTTGTGGTTTGCTATACTGCTATACATGTAAAAACACACACATTCTTCTAAGAAAAATCAAACAGATCCCCACAGCATAGTCCTTGCCACTTTTCAATGGTATGTGAAAACAATCCTTTCATTTGGGATGTTGGAGGGACTTGAGTTATGCTCCATGTATGTTCAAGTCGTTTTGGATTCTCAGTAATGGCGATATATGCATATATACTAGATGATATAGTGGGGGTAACTGATATAGCCATAGTACCCTCTGGTAAACTCAACGTAGCTATGGAAGATCACCATTTTTAATAGGTAAATCCACTATAAATGACCATTTTCAATAGCTATGTTCAATTACCAGAGGGCAAATCATATATTGTGTGATTGTGATACACTATATAGATATAGCCAATAGTCCTACTGTAATTCATAGTATCATATCCTAACAATTCACCAAGTCGTCTCCCGGATTTCTCCCGGATTCTGAGGCTCTTTGCGTTTGCCCATGATGTGTTGGCCGTGGTCAGTTCCGCCTCCTGGCTGCGAAAGGATCAGTATGCCGACTCCAATAAGGCGCCGGAAAACTCCGTGGGGATCCGTGGGGTCTCTGGGGAAATCGCCGAAAAATGGCGTGGAACTACGGTGCAACTACAGATTTCAATCCGAGTGGGGTCATGGACCAAGCGAATACATGCGAAAACATGATATATATAGTGATTACAGGGGTGAAAGAGGAGTTACATGGACTGGGAACGGCTCTAAAATCCAGGGATTTTATCATATACTAAGTAGATTTGGATGTGAAAACAAGGGGATTCGTTGAACCATGATTTTCCTGTTTTTCGCATACACATATGAGTTTTCTAGCAAATTGCACCCTTTAATACACATTTGGAAAGGTTGCCCTAGCCTTGCAGTGGCCGAGATAGGTAGCAGGGGTGATTGTACCTTTTTCATCCTTTTTCTATTTATGGATTCCTATGGGGTGATTGTAACTTTTTCATCCTTTTTTTTTATTGTATCTGACAGGTAACTGGAAGATGAGGGTGGGTTAGTCTTGATGAATTTTTGAGTAGGATGCTCAGCCATACCAATGAAAAAGTATCTTGCTTTTCAGTCACTCCCAAAAAGGTCCATAAAAGTATGCTGACCACCAAGGATTAAGAGAAATCTATCTTACGCCGTCCCCCAAAATGAACAGATCCGATATAGTATCCCCATGAAGTCCCATATATATGTATATATAATATACATATATACATATAATATATTGTTTAAAAAAAAAATCCATTAAATCACCACTTTGATGAACTAACTCTCCAGGCTTTTCCACGTTGGATCAACACAGCGCCGGCACCGCCGTGGCGCCTCGGCAGGTCCTGTTGCACGACCTCGCGACACCCAAAGTGGAGCCGCTGCTGCAAGGGCTGCTGCGCACAGCAGAGGCGGAGTTCGACGTGGAGGCGGCGGAAAACGGCAAAGGGTATTGTGATACATGGGAAATCGGGGATTTATATGGAATTAGCATCTAGAAATAGGGGATTAGAATGGATTGATACAGATTATCAGATGATATAGATCATATGTATATATATATGTAGTATAATATGTATATATAGACAATATATATATATATATACAATATGTGTATACATATATATATAGATAGATAGATAGATAGATAGATAGATAGATAGATACATATATATACATACAAATATATATATATAGATACATATATATATATAGATACGTATATATATAGATACAAATATACATATATATGTATATAGATACAAATATATATATATATATAATATATGTATATAGATACAAATATATATATAGATACACCTGTATATATATATGTATATAGATACAAATATATATATATATATATACGTATGCACAACAATATTCGACAAGATAGAACAGGTTTAATTTTCCGCTAGTTTAGGTTCGGATCTTATATTTCTACATCTCTTTTGGGCACTATATGCTAGTTGGTAGTGGGAAAAAAGTTTTTTTTGTTTTTTTTAAGTGGTGGGCTCTCTTTTGGAGGATGATCCCAAATGATTCATATTTGGTTGGTCTGAAACCGCCAGCACTTGTATAATACATATATACATATATATATATATAATGTATATATATCACACATATATATATATATACATACTTAATATTGATGATAATTATAGTTGATGTATTGAAAGTTCGGAGCATTGCTGGAGATTCGTGTTTTTGTTCATCTTTTTTGATGCGATTTAAACAACAAAAATGTTGGAAACTTGGTAGAATACCAGCCAGAACCAGGATATCAGGAGGATAGAATGGAATGCAATGGGACGTATCAGCAACGATTTGATTTGGGTGTGTCTGAAAATAGGGCAATAAAACCCTTTTTTGTGGGTCGTAACATTCCTGGGAACCCCCCAAAATCTGATTGTTTTGCATCATTTCTCTCATGAACATTGTTATTATTTTTGAGGTATACTTATTATACCACATTTTCAGACACAGCCATATAGATCACTAATATAATATATATATATATATGTTATATATATATTATACATTTGTTGACCCAAAATTGCCAAACCTCATACATGACTTGTATTGAGAGAACGATCAAACATACAACGTGCCTCCCCCTAGAGACGGAAAGGTTACTTCTTAGATCAATTCAACTGTATATAAAATCCATTGTGTGGCCCAGTCCTATCTTGGTGTCCCACCTTGTAGCATAGATAGATAAGTTGGTTCACTTGTAGGCTACGGCCAATGAACGGATTTGTGGTGGACTTTTCTGCAGTTGATTGGTTTCATAGACCAACAACTGTGGCAATTTTGCCGGGGGAAGACGATACTGGGCCATCTCTGGATAAAAGAAATCTCACCATGCGACGCCGGAAATGAGACGGCTGGGATTAGGGGAATCATCCTCATTTATCCAGAGATATACTCCAGTTGTATCTAGATATACTATGATATACTCCACTTCTAACTTCTATCCCATGAAATTATCATGAAATCCCATATAAATAATACAGTAAATCCAGATCATATGACCAATGTTGTCCATACCCAGCAAACATGGGGATGAATCCATGGATGTTTTCGGAAAACGAGATGCTGCAGGCGCAAGCCGCAACAGTGGCGCATCTGCCGGTGCTGATTCGGGTCGGAAGCCAAGATAGGCCCGGAGAAATCGGCTAGTCATGGGGATGAGCCCATAACCTCGGTCGTAAACGAAGATTTTTCTGGAGTTTACCCACCAGGTGTAGATCATTTCCCGGGAAACCAATGGAAACCCATGGCTTTTCCATTGCATGATGATGCTTAGCAAGTGGAATCGCCATGGGAACACGTTGAATCCGCGTTTGTTCTCTTGCTTCGCATTCACCAAGAGAACATGGTATGACAGTCGAACAGGTGCGGTACACACAACCAGCAAAGGTGCGGAATATCAACAAATATATCCAAATATCACGAAGAAGAATTAGTGATATTTTTTTCACCAAACATAATATATATATATACCAATTTGTATATGATATCTATATAATTGGTATCAAATACTTGGTATAGCAAATCATATATGAATTTCTAGCGCGCTCCAGAGCGTGGCTGCATGTTGTTTGGTCCAATCCCGGTGATCCCGGAAGATTTGATGACTTGGTTGGTTCCTTCCAGCATGGTTCAAAATTTAATGTCTGGTTGGTGGTTTGGAACATTTTTCAGATGGGTAGGTATACCACCAACCAAATGTTTCTGTCAGTTTATGTCTGAGTTTTGGACATCTTTGATATTTTTGATAGAAGATGCGCAAGGTGACTGACACTTAAATTGTGTCTCTCAAGGCAAGCCATGAGCTCCGGTAATTTTTTGACATGGCCAGCTTTCGAAAATCCACTGTTCGATGCAGGACGGTGCATCCCTGGTTTTCCCGGAGGAGCTGTGGGGTGATGGATTTTGTCGTGGAACCGAGTTGTTTTTTCAAGGCCACGCTATCGTTTGGTGCCCCAAAACGTGTCGATTTAGGGTTTCTATTATTTTCTATTGAACTAATTTTGCTGGGGAATGCAAACCAAACACAACTGGGGGCGGTTTTTGTTGCGGAAGGACTTGAACCCCTGCATGTTGGACAGCCAATCGTAAACTGACATGATTCATCTTGCGGGTGAAACCGCTGATGGTAAAAGTTGAAACTGTGCGTGCTACACTGGGGAGATACAAGATGTACCTGACTTTCAAGATCACCAATGTCTTGCAAATGATTCGTGAACATGTCTGGCAAATGAATCGCGCAATTGGCACGATTATCAAAGGCTGAACTGGGATGCGATGCCTGTGTGGTTGGAGAGCACACCGATCACAGTGGGTCTTCCGCGTACGCATTCTGCAGAGGGCATCTTGTACATAGACAAGGCGCTGGCGTCAAGGAATGTGCTGGCGACCCTGCCGTTCAGAAACGTGATGGGTTCACAAGCGACAAAGATGATCCCATGCACGCCAGTTTTCATTACTGGAGGGCTGCCATCAGCCCATCAGCGGTTTCACAAGAAAAGTCACAACAATGAACGGTTGGCCGTTCCACACTCACGAGAATCTAGAGGGAGTTCAGCCCCTGAAGTGGAAACTCCCGAGGGGCAACCCAACAAAAACCACAGCACTCTTTAAGTTCGATACATCTTCCATAAACAGATCTAATCTTCCCTCCCCATTACTAAAACCCCCCCCTCCCCACCACATGGTAAACACGGTGATCTATTTTCATTATTAGGGGGTATTTTGTATTAGGGTGCCCCTAATATTCCAATGTAAACCCTAATAATAAAAATTAAAAAAAACGAAAAACAACGATTTCAAATGGGATTAAATCACTTTTTAAAATCTATATAAAATATTGCCAACAACATCCAAAAACTGGATTTCGAAGCTTTCTCCTAATATCTTAATGAACACCTTAATAACACAAATAACAAACTCAATTTCAATTTTGATTAAATCCCTGATTAAAATATATTTAAGATATGGCCAAAAACTGGATTTCGAAGCTTTCCCCTAATATTCCAATGAACACCTAAATAATCAAGATACACAATAAAGCTTGTGAGATGGGACCCTAATAAAAAGCCTCCAGTAGGCAATCTATTTTTATTCATAGGGGGTTGAACCCATTGTTTCACCATCTCCTATTGATTCTCAAATACCACAATCAACAATCCAATCGTGCCCAACCAAAAAACAACGGAAGTGCCACACCAATCCTATTTTTTGTTTGGGGGAGTTTTAGTAATAGGAAGAAGGGATTAGGTCCGTTATAACTCAAAAAAAACGGTTTTCTTTTTAAATAAATACGTCTTTCTTTTCTAAAACTTAGATTGCATTGCCAGTGATATCGTACCCGGTTGGACAATCTGTTTTGATATTTGTTTGTATATTTAAGACTGGCCGTGACCAGGTATACAATACAATGCCTGCACGACCTGGGTATCAATGGATATATAGTCATTAGGATCTTGTGAACAGGACCAGGGATTTTCCCACCTTTTTGGTGGGTCATTTTTTAGATTCTATTGTAATTTACCATCTGGTTATGACTAACATAGCCATGGAAAGATCCACCATTTTTAATAGGTAAACCATCTATTTCTATGGGCCATTTTCCATGGCTATGTTAAATAACCAGAGGGTATATAATTTAATTAAATGCACGCTGCATGCACCTTCAAAATGGCAGCTATGCGAGGATGTATCGCACACTGCTCAGTGAAGGGGCCAAAGACGTCACCCTGACTGAACTCCCGGGCAAGGATTGGAGCTGGATGGCTGGGGATAGTTTTGTGCCGAGCTCTTCGGGATCGCTATGTTTGGACACATCAATTTTAATATTTGCTGGGTTCATAGTTTATAGATGTTTATAGTAAATCAATTTTAATAGTTGTTGGGTTTATAGTTTATAGTATATAAATATATCAAAGTTGTTGATGGGAAACCAACAAAACAACAAACATAACTGGGGGGCACCTTGTACGAAAAGTTGGTGGGCTAGCATGGGTCTGGGTTTCATCTGAAACTGGCCTATGTCGTTCGCGGGGTCAACAAATTTCTAAACCCATCGCCACATCAACGCCTGCAATCCAAAAAAGCTGTTGAGTTTCTCCAGTTTCTCAATGTTTCTCATTTTGTTGTTCCCAGACAGGGATTAATCTCCGGACCATGTGGTTGGTGGTTTCAATTTTGTTTTGTTTATTTTCCCTGGAAATGGATAGGGATGGGATGATGATTACCACTTACTACTGTCACTTTTTTTTTGGCTGGAAAAACCACCAATCAGACATGATGTCAGGGTTTGTGCTCCCTGCTTGTAACATGGTAAGTTTTTTTTTGCATGGCTGTTTTTTGGGAGGACTACAGAAAACTCAGATGTAGTCCTTGGATGAACTGCAAGTGGCTGATAACGCCCTGTTAATGATGACACCCTGTTGGCTCTCAGTGAATTTCTCGGAACATGAATGTTACACAGGTTTTTCGTACTAAGGGTTGGCATATGTATGCACTTGTTGGTCCCAACCACAGCACTTCAGTCAGACCGGTCTGTGATGGCGTGTGAGTACAACCACAATGAATCAACAATGTCTTGATTTCTGAAAGTACCACTAGATACCACTAGGAGTTGGAATATGTTTCTTCGAACATCTTACCGTTTCCAACTCTTCGCGATTCTGGCGCGTTTCCTCATCCTAGAAGCCAGGAGCACTGGTGGTGGGACACAGCGAAACCCAATGATGGCGGTGCAGTGAATGACCCCGAAATCAGGAACTTTTTAAAGAGGGTCTTGGACAAGGCAGGATGGCCACGAGCTGCTGGTGTCATCCGCAAGGTGAAGAATCCAACAAACCGTAGCTGGTTGGTGGTTTGGAACATGATTTTTATTTTTCCATATATTTGGGAAGAATCACCCCAACTGACTAATATTTTTCAGAGGGGTTGAAACCACCAACCAGGTAAGTTGAAGATTTTAGATATTTTTGTTTGTTTCGTCATGTTTGGTCCCAGTTCGTATAGATATCACTTGACATGGACCTACAAAAAAGCAAGCATTGACCAGCCTTTTCCTCGTTGACAGCCATGACAGCCATGATAATCTAGATATCTGATGATATCATATCTGGTTGGTGGTTTGGAACATGATTTTTATTTTTCCATATATTGGGAATGTCATGATCCCAACTGACTAATATTTTTCAGAGGGGTTGAAACCACCAACCAGTCATATGATAACCATCATTAACCATATAATAACCATATAGTAACCATTATGAACAGTATATATTAAGCAGTATTAACCACCATGTTTAGTAATATGATACCCTCTGGTAATTTAACATAGCTATTGAAAATGACCATAGAAATAGTGGATTTCCCCATTGAAAATGGTGGATCTTTCCATAGTTATGTAAACGTTTACCAGAGGGTATCATATATCATATATCGTATATTTTGCCAACCAACAAAGGCCATAAATTCTTCACTTCACTCGGCCTCGGGCTTGATGGCGGCGTTTTTCTGGGAATCATTTTAAGTTAGGAATCCGCTGGACCATGGGAGCTGTGTGTTTCTTCCGCTTCACCAACCATGACTGGGGTTTTAATACGATAATACGATATAATTTTATAAAAATATAATATCATATGATGTAATATAATATACTGTAATAAGATATAATATAATATAATTTGATATAATGTAATGTAATATAACATATTATAATATGATATAATATTATAATATAATGTAATATGATGTAATATAATATAATGTAATATAATGTAATATACTGTAATATAATGGCATATAATGCAATATAGTGTAATATAATATAATCTAATGTAATGTACTGTAATGCAATATAATTTAATGTAATATAATATAATATGATATAATGTTGTATCATGTAATGTATATGTACATATATCATGTATACTATGTCATATAATATACATATAAATAAGTAAATAAATAAGTAAATAAATAAATATATATATATATATATTATATTATGTATAAAATCATCCCCAATTCAATAGAGGTCTGCTTATAAAATAGTAAACCTATGCAATCCTTTATCGGGGCTGGTTTACTATTAGGTTTGCCAGTTTGATGGACACAGACCAACTGCAGGGCTTAGATGCTTAGATATAGTCTCTTCCACCGAAATACTGTGCTGGTATTAAACCATGTCATTATCCGGCACAGTTTTGATTTATGGTTTAATGATATAGTGTTTATGGTTTAAAGTTTTTTTTAATGCTTGATATATTGTTACTATATGGTTCATATATGGTGAATGGTTAATATATCAAATGTTCGTATCCCACTCTTCGACATAGTGTAGTCCCAGATAGAACAGTTGCCGCCAGGAAAAGTCACCATCGAGCCTGTCCCTTGGCGTTCCCACGATCGGCCAACTTTTTTCCCAAGGATGATGACCGAGGTCAAGTCAACGACTTGAAAAAAACGGTCGTCAGATGAAACAGATCGTTTTTGTTTTTGTGGCCATATCCCCGAAGTTCAGGCTTCCTTCTATCCTGATAAGGGGATGCAACTGAGTATCAACTGGGTTGTGCTGTAGCTTATTTTTCAAAGGCTTAATTACTGTAATCAACAGCTGATGTATGGTCATAGTCCTGTCATTTCAGCTGACTCATCCACCTTTTGCAACCGCGCCACTTGCATCACTGGGAAGTTGACACCAGAGAGAGTATACTCTAGCCAATGAGTCCTGAAAATATGGTTTGTGCGTTCATCTCGCAAATCTTGCGGGTAATACCTGGTGGCATACCCATTAAAAAAGCCGTACTATCTTTTTTAACGATCTCTCTTACCAGAAGTGATTGATGTGATTGTTTATACATGGAAACATTCCCAAATGGGCGAACCTTTTAGTTTGCAAATGCTTATCGTTTGCCCCGCATATAATATATATATACATATCACCATCATGGGACATTGATTTATATTTTGATATGTCTCATGATATTCTCATAGCAATTGGATCTTCCCACGGTTTCATTATGGATCAAGATCACACAGGACTATAACGCAATAGAACTATTTACCGATCATGTTTCTTGGAGACATCCTGATATTTCATGATGAAATCATCCATTTTTGATAGGTAAATCGTAATTGTTCAAAGATAAATCGCTATTTTTGATGGAACAATTTTTGATGGGTAAATCACCATTTTTGCTGGGTAAATCGCATTTTTTTATGGGTAAACCACCCTTTTTGATGGGTAAATCGCCATTGTTGATGGGTAAATCGTCACTTTTGGTGAGTCAATCGCCATTTTTGATGGGTAAATCACAATTTTTGATGGAACAATCACAATTTTTGAAGGGTAAATCACAATTTTTGATGGGTAGATCAGAATTTTTGATGGGTAAATCACAATTTTTGATGGGTCAGTCACCATTTTTGATGGGTCAATCACCACCCCTGATGGGTCAATCGACATTTTTGATGGGTAAATCACCATTTTTGATGGGTAAATCGGCACTTTTGGTGGGTCAATTGCTATTTTTGATGGGTAAATCACCATTTTTGATGGGTAAATCACAATTTTTGATGGGTAAATCACAATTTTTTGTATCTTCAAATGCCAAGTTGTCCCCTGAGGCGCTGGCGCTCGGTCGTATTTGGCTCCGTTGGCGGCACCCTCCGCCACGGGCTGCGTGTGCGGGCGCTGGCGCGGCCGGAGCGACGAGCGGAGGTGCGGGTGGGGGGTAGACCTTGGCAGTTTTTCCCTACTGGAGAGGGGCTGTCACATGACAGCGGGAATGAACCTGGCATAAATATCTCCATGAGTGGCGCACCAAGTGCCATACAACAGAGTGGCATCCTGCCGTGAAACATCTTATTGTACAGTGAAAAATTTTTGTTCTCTCTTTTCTAGGGTGACTTGCGCCTTCATAATGATGCTACTTCTATTGGTGGAGTCTTGTGCAGCATCGTGGGCATGCGCTGATCGTGGGCTTGCTGCCTCGGAGGTTTTGCTACGGAATGACCCTAGCCTGATGACTCCTGAGAATGTTTCAGGTGCATTGTTGCTCCTTGTGAGCAAGCATTTTTGGTTGCAAGGTCATGACTTACCTTTATTGTGTACAGAGTTTTCTTCAAGATTGCGACCTTGACCTGCAACAATACAGTTTTGTCGTGCTCAATCTTGTTCAGTGCCCATCCAGTCCTCTGTGAAGCCTTTGCCTTTCTATTTGGCGTGAGGTGAGCCTCTGCTTGCTGCTCAGATGCTTTGTGATTAGAATACTGTGTTGAAACTACAGAAATTCCATCCGATCCGCGGGTGGCCTGGTCATGCTACATGTGGCTGCGCTTTGCTCTCGAGCTTCCCGAGGATGTCGATCAGGTGTTCCGATGTGATACCGTAGATGGACGACATATTCAAAGCCCTTCTATCCGGTACAACCCCCCTCGCCCCCAAAGTTCAGTGTTAATGTAGCCTGAAATGCATTAGCCCCAATGGACGAACAAAATCAAACCCCTAACATCACTTTTAGTAACACGCGCGCTGAAACATTGAGATTTCGGGGTGCGGGGGTTCAACATAGTGCGTGCTGCAGGGTTGAATATTTTGTCCATCTACTGTCTCCCTCTCTGACGATCACATCTTTTGGTCTCCAAACTCTGTTGTGGAAACATCACTCTGCATGCTGCTGATCTTATGCCAAACTGCGCAAAACATTGGCTTTTCACAAGTATATGCCTCCTGTCCGTCTCCCGTCCCATTTTTTTCTATTCCCTAATTCGCAACTTAATCCTAAGTGCACAAAACATTGCGTTTTCACAGGTAAGTGCAACCTTTGTGCTTCCCGTCCCATTTTTTTCTATTCCCTAACTCGCAACTTATTCCAAACTGCAAAAAAACATTGTTTTCACAGGTAAATCCTGCATGTGTCTCTCGTCCCATTTTTTCCGATTCCCTAATTCACAACTTATTCCAACATGTGCAAAACTGCAAAACATTGTGTTTTCATAGGTAGATGTGCATGTCTCTCTCGTCCCATTTTTTAAATTCATCAGTTCTGCAAGGCAGCGCTAGCAAACCCGCTAGGTTTGCGCTAGTCTTTTTTCACACCCATTTCAAGTTTTTTTTGTGTGTGCCCTGTCTGCTTGTTATTTCAACATGAAGGAAAGTCAAGATGTAAGCCTTAGCTCCTTAAACCTAATGATGTCTTAGTGAATTTCTGAGTCTGTGCTACTCAACAATTTCCCTATATTTTTGAGGTTGCGGCTCAATTTTGCAAATTTGTACGTAATTTTACCCGCTAGATCCCTGCTAGCAATGTGCTAGCAAAAATTTCAAAAAACCGGCTTTGGCTGACCCGTGGCCCAGTCCCCGCCAGAGAACTTGTAGTTTATCCTGTCTGTTTGACAAAAGCAACAGTGACAGCAAAGGCAACGACAAGCCCTGCAGATATTCCAGCTCCACCACTAATAACTAGCAGCGGCACCCACTTCATATGCTCATATGGACGCGCCTTAGCATTTACTGCAGGTTCTATCTACGGCTTCAAACATTAAGATAAAAAGGAAGGGTTTCAGACTATTTAGGTAAGTCATGGTTTTAAAGACCAAATAAGAAGCGGCACGCAAGGAATTACGATTTATCAACCAAACCAGGAAAAGACATTTTGGCAAACCGTCACATGGTCGTTTTTCTCGCCAAATGGGCCTAACCACACCTAGAATCCTGCTGCTGACCTATCTGCCCTTGGATCGCGACCCCAATTTTGGTAGTGACAGCTCTAGCATCACTTGGAAAAACTATACTCAACATAACCTTGAAAGATAAACTTCCTCATATTTTTGTGATGGTTGCCTCACCAACCACACGGCTTCAGGTCACTTGGGGGATCTGTTCTTAGAACTGTCCGAAATCCTCTTATTTTGTAAACCATTCGTGTTACAGATACCTGGATTATCCTGGATTTGCCTGAAGGATCCGGTGATTTCTTGTTTTCCTATGTTTTCCTATTTCTTAATTTCAGTATTCCACCATTTAAGGATAATCCATTGGCAATGTTTTCCTATGTTTTCCTGTGTCCATTGTAGTATGGGGAACCATAATCCACTGGCAATATCTGGCAATCGTTTTTTTTTTGGGGCCTCTTAAGCAAATCCACCGCAGGTCTCCGTGGAACTCCCAGAGAAAGGCGGGTTTTTTTTGCGTCGCCACGTTCAGCGGCGGGGGGACTTTCGCATCATCTGCCCTTTCTGTGTGGTGGTTTGGAACATGGCTTTTATTTTCCATTGTATATGGGATAATCCTTCCCATTGACATTCATATGTTTCAAGATGGTTAAAAGCACCAACAGGATAGACTCTGATAAAATATATACATGAAACTTACTACAGGATTGACGATGCTAGTTTCATGAGAGATGACCTAGCAAGGGGGGATGCCGATGACGCACGAGCCACAAGGATATGTGAAGGATTTGGCGGGTAAGAATGAGGAATGAGGAGTTAAATTATATTAGATTGATGTATTTGCATTTATTAGCTATCCTTGAGTAATATTTAGTAGTGTTTTCGTTCATACTTTACCTTTGATTTTTTTTGAGTAATGGTGGGGTATTCCCGGGAAAACCATGTCTCTTTGAATTTCGAGAATAGCATTTAACGTTGGTAAAGCAAGAATAAACCACCCATATTTTAAGGTGGTTTATGCCACCCATGTATGGTATAATTGGGATGGTTTACTATTGCTTTACTAACACTATTTCTTTACACTCTCCACCGGGGACCCACTTGTAGTGACAACACATCCTTGTCAAACGTTGGAGTATATAACCATATTGGGGATGGTCATAGCAGCAGCAAAAACGGGAATGATGATGGCCAATGTGAGGATGTGAGGATTTCCAACAGTTGGATGACTCAATAATGCATATATATATATATAAATGTTATACCATGTTAGATGACAATAATGACATTGGTATTATTATTATATATATATATATTAGTTATATAAATATATATATATACCATATATAACTATATATATACCATATATAACTATACATTGTATATTTTATATATAATAATACCATGTCAATGACAATGAACCACATAACAATGGTGTATTTGCACCATGAGTACAAAGAATGGTGGGACAAGTTGGGCCCAATTCTGACTTTAGCTCTTTGGAGATTCCACCAGCTGAGTGTTGTCCCATTCGGGGGATTTGACACATACCCAACTTGATGATATATATATATATATTTTTAAGGTTGTTGTTTTTCTGCATTGGAATACTTTTTATTTCCATATTTTTCAGTATTCTTCCATCTGTTCCATCCTATTGGGGATGATCTTCATTGACTTCCAACCTTTTTTCCCTTCACCCGACCGGAAGGTCCGGCCGTTCTGGCGACCTCCAACGTGGTTCAATTGCAATGGCAGCGTTCGAAGGAATGGCAGGGGGTGCAGCAAGTTCTTCTGGACGGTCAATTGCAGAGTCTTCCGCAGGAGGCGGTCTTCCACCAGGTTGAGACCTGGGATGGGCCAAGGGAGGAAAAACAACCGTTAGCTAAGTTGCTTTAATAACAATCGTGTATGATACTTATAAGTATATCTAGATGAGGTTATAAACCAACAAACATAACTGGGGGGCACCATCCTGTAGGTTTTTAAGGCTTTAAGGCTTTTGAATCCTTCAATGTTCGTCAGTGGAGCTCTTATTGAGGAAAATATCGCACCTCACATCCGAAAGATGAACAAACAAACGTCCTTGTTCTTATGAGGTCCTTGTTTGTTGAATCAACAAGGATATTCAAGAAGGTTGAGCTCTTATTGGAAGGATCCTTGTTGATTCAACAAACCAATTCTTAAGTCCCAGCTGCATGAACATGGTCAAGAGAAACACCCGAAATGGACATGTCGCGCGACTCTAGAGATGGGGTCGCGTTAGATATGTCTTTGGTTTGGTTTCACTATCTCAATCCAAGCCATTTAGCTATGGATAGTGATGGTTAGTGGTGAATAATCTAGTATTAAACACCACTATCCATCACTATCCAATATTCTTATCTCAAGTCTTACTAATGCTATACTAGATCATAGTTGTGGCTTTATCATAGGATTGCCAGATCTATCTATGTAAGATCTATGTAAGATCTTTAAAGCTATGCTAGATAATAGACCTATCTGGCTATTATATTAGATAATAGTTAGATAACAAATATAGTATTTCTGTATATTAGCAATTATATTGAATCTATCTAACAGATATTATATCTGGCTATTTTTGAATATGTTATTTTATATTATAATTATATTACCATCAAATATAACCAACATCTGCTGGCGACCCAACCAGGTCCAGTGGTGTTTAGATTTTGGCACCTGGAAAGTCTGCGACTTCGCGGTCGCGCAACGACATCAACGACATCCAAATCAGGTCACGGGGGATCGGGTGAAAATCTGTCCAAATCGCAAGCTATGGAAAAACATTGACATGTGGTTGACCATTTGGATCATTTTGGATATTAAACATGTTTTTGTAGTTTTTTTTGTCACATACGTTTCTGTATCATGGTTTGGGGTTGCTATACTAAGAATGATGATGCCATAGTTCTCCAGAAATCGGTGGGATGAGGCTTCAGCTGATGGACTCAACCAACAGCCCAGCCTTTTGGTGAACCTCGCAGTAGTAGATAGTTGATGAGCCATAATAAGCCCATGATGAGCCATGATAAGCCCATGATAAGCCATGATAAGCCTATAAAAATTGGTGCTTCATAAACCCTTGACGTCTGACCATTATATAGTGGGTCCCCTTGGGACGGTTTGATCCTTGGGATGTTTGTTTTGGGAAGGAGTAGTGATTGATTACCATTATATTGATTAACAACATGTTAACCATAGGAATCACCTGTGTATATAATATGATGTGTTGTGGTTTACCAATCATACTACATATTGATTAATTACAATTGAGTAATATGGATATATCAACCAATTATCCAATGAATATACCAATATCATGTTGGTTCACCCCCAAGTACTGGTCAATGGTCAATGGTCAATGATATTAGGGGTAAACTGTATTGCTTATGATCAGTGGGCTAATGATCATATACTAATATTGCTGGCTAATGATTAGTAATTAGTATAGTTATCATATTCTGTTGCCCACTGATACTTTACTAATCCAGATATTCAGTGGGCCACTTACCTGTTTTCAGGCTTTTGAAGCCAGCGATATTTGTCCACTTTCCAGGCTGGTCCAATGCGAGAAATCTATAGCGCTCCCTTGTGCGGTGTGTCCGCAGACGAGGAGAAAAACGGTCATTAAACCTGCCAGTTTTAGTGGAAAAATCCCGAGGTTTTTCACACTTTTTGATCATAGTATAGTGCAGGAAGATCTGGAAAAGGCCCCAAAATGATATGTAAATAGGTAACTGGGCTAATGATTGGATCTATCGTGGATATATCTATAGTTAGATGGGGTTCTTCACCCAGTGTGGGAAGATCCCATCAACCAACGATTAAGAAGTGGCCAAGGGTCTTTGGACACTGCTGAAGTAGGCTACAATCTATTGGCGAAACTTAAGACTTGTTTCCACATGAGCAATGGCCATGGCCAGGTTACCCCTCTTGCTTAAGCGGTTGATGAGGCTACTTCCATAGACATCACAATGACAAGAATCCATCAGAATCCCAAGACAAAAAATTTCAAACATCCCGGTCACTCCAGCGGTTACAAAAAGCTTCCAAAAACGGGAGATATTTTGACGGTGAGGCCAGCCTGGTTCAAGCGAAATCATCGAACTAAGCCGCGGGCCATAGCGCTATGTTGAGGGTATGTTCTGCGAAATTTCTTTCCACTGGCAACTGGGTGGCAGTGATGGGGGTTTCAGTTCACTATAGTTCACTCTCCAACCGGAAGACATCCTGATTTGGTTGGGGGGTTCAATTTTTAATACGTTGTCAACCATCGTAAAGGATCGAAAAGGGATGATTGGTTGAGATGACGAGGAGATGACGTTGGGACGGGCGGCTCAACCACGTTAACCACCTTTGCCTTGCCACGAGATGCGCAGGAGGGAGAGAAAGCACTACAGTTCTTTGGGAACATGCTCGTGACTTGGCTGATTCTGAATCTTCACTTTCTACAATGTGAGGCCCCCGTTCGATAGCGTTCAGTTGGTTTAAAGTTGGTGAACATAACTCCAATGTCACTATGGTTTATGGTACTTATAACTATAGTTACTGGGGCTTTTGTTAAACCAACGTTCACATCACTGGGGGGTCTCACGAATGACGGTTTAGGAGTGTTTTTTAGATCCCAGGAATCCATGAATGACCGAGCTACATTTTATTGAAGCATGTTACCCTCTGGTGAACTAACAGTTTGCAATGGAAAGATCCACCATTTTTAATGGGAAAATCCACTATAAATGGCCATTTTCCATTGCTATGTTAGTTCACCAGAGGGTAAGTTTTGTTACGAATGCATCGTTTTTCGTGGAAGACTAATGTAAATTAAAAAAATTCTGGATTATCGACAATAATTGACATATTCTGGATGAAATCCCTTGAGGGACCAGAAAGAATTGGTCCAATGCCAATACGACTTATTTAAGAGTCCGACGACTTGGTCTATGACCGATCTTTTGAACATGGGCTCCGGCTGTAAGTTTTCAAGTAACACAACCAAGTGGGGAGGAATGACTAAGTTAGGCTATCAGGACCAAGATTGATTGGTCCGAAGCATGTTTTGTTTTTACTATACTGCTATGTGTTTATTAAACACAACAACAGTGGACCAGCACCCGTTAGATACACGCTGTGTATCTAGTCATGACGATGCGGCCTTAACAAATGGCACAATGGAATGCCGAGTTGATGAAAAACTCAAACCCACGTGCCATATACCACTCATCAGAGGCCCCAAAAAAGATAGATTATCACTATAGGCTGATGATGGGATTTACGGTGCTGAGATGTCTACCTGGGTTGGACCAACTTGTGACTGGAGGCCATTCCGCTTGGAATCACAACGATAGATACTTCAGGCTGCTTAGATTGTCCATACAATGTGGCCCCCAAGATGGGAAAACAGGTTTTGAACTACAATAACTGTTTGATTTGTGGTGCACATATGACTCCAGTTTAATTTGTGAAGGTGAACCAACTCAATTGTACTTTTATGTAGTGGCGACGATTCGGAACTGTTGGGAGCAACAGGTGTCTGCTCGTAGTCCCCATTGACAAAATGGAATTCGCTGCGACTTAAGCTTCCGTTGCCAAGCACATGATAGTTATGTTCAGTTCTGTCATTCAACAATCACTGTGAATGGGGATACACTTGTGAATCACTGGGATATGATAGAAATATCATGGCCCGATATGATGGTTCAACCCTTGCCAGGTCCACATTTCCGGTTGTTGATACTCCGGCGCAGGTGATGACGGGGCATGGTGTGATCCGGCTTCTATCCTCTCAGGAGGCTAAGCTGATCTTTACAGGTTGATGCTTACTGGGTGAATTTTGGGTTTGTGAACCATTGTTAAGACCTTCTGGTAAACTAAGAGTTTGCTATTGAAAACGCCCATTTAGTTATTTAGTTCGTTGATTTACCTATTCAATCTATTCACAACGGTGAATTGCCATAGCTATGTTAGTTTACCAGAGAGTAGACCATCGTTAATCTAGTCACCAACTTGCTCTGAGATGATGATTAGATGAGGGCTGCTCTCTTGTAGCTTGTGACCCGAACTTGACAATCACCCGTTTAGAAACTGCACATTTTTTATCATCCAACCAAATGTACCATTTTCCATAGCTATGTGAAATCGAGGCTTTAACGGTTAAACAAAAACAACCAGCAGTGACCATAACCTCTTTTGGTTATTATACAGGCTTATACCAGCTTGTATGTGCGGAATTCTTATGATTATAATTATCCACGAAGCGGGAATCCTGTTCTTAACCAACCAGTATACATACACGGATGACATTTCTGGTTTTGAACACTGCTCAGTTGTAAGTTGCAGATTTTTTTAGAGCCATACCAGTTCATTGGGATTGTGATTCTACGAACTGGGACTTCCGAACCTTCAAACATCTTTAAACCAGGCCGTAGATTTAGAGATGACAGAATATTTTGGGCGCTTCTCGAACATTTGCCTGGTAGATCAGCGTTACCTTCTCACTTCGGAATGTGAAGTGAGCTGAGAGACCATTTTGAATCGTCTAGTACCTCAGATATCTACCGTAGCAAATGATGCTTGCAAGAAGACCTTGCAACATTGCAGAGAGAATCGAAAAACTCTACAGTACACTGGTAGATAATGGTAGATAGATAAATACATATGAGTAACCGACAAAATAAGCGGAAGACTAAAGTAGTAGGGAGTGGACTTGGGATGTTCAAATTTGTGCGAAAGCCTTCACAACCGGTAGGGGACCGCCCACTTACCGATACCCGATTTTCACACATACCATGGAAGTGCAACCTTCACAACCGATAGGGGACCACCCACTTTGGCCATGTCCATTGCGGGTAGTAAGTAATTTTGTCCGCCACTCATAAGTCATATGGTAGTTTCCTGAAATAGGGGTACCCCCAAGTCATCCATTTTAATGGGATTTTCCATTATAAACCAACCATTTTGGATCATTTGGCTTCAAAATTTCCTTTGCGTTGGTGGCCCACCAACTCTACCATGGCCCAGCTGGGGTTTTCAGCTGCAGAACTGCGGTTAGTACTGAGAGAAGTGTCATCAAAACCGCTTTATTTTGAGGCTAAACACTCATTCAAACGATTGAGGGTGAAAGTAAATCAAGCGATGAGAAATTTAGTCGATGTTTTCTTTAAAGAAAGTGGTATAGTGGTCCTGTTTGACCATTTTCTACAAGGATCTACAAGGCATGTATGAGTTTGTTGCGCGCTTGGACACACAAGGATTCTACTTCCGACCTCGGTGTATAGCATCCCATGAACAAACCGTTTGGCCAATTTCATAAATCCCAATTTCGAATAGTTCATCATCACATAATATATTTATATATAAATTAAATATATATACATATATATATATATGGATGTTTTGATGGGAAAAACATGTATATATAAATGGAATATAGATACTGTATATATATAATTATATAATATGTATATATATATACATACACACACACTCCTAAGATTATCCCATATGCATATATATATATACACATCTGGATGGTTGTAACGACCTCACGCCGATGTCACTGGAACGCTATTCAACTCAGGGGTAATCATTCCCAAATGGCGAACTTTTCAGTTTGGTGAATTGTCGTAATTTAGGTGTATATATATATATATATACATATATATATAGATAGTGATCCTGGAGTAGATAGAATATGGAAGTTTCAAAAACTGGAATTTCAGGCCATGATTGGTGGGATATTCTCTACATTGGCCACATAGATCATTACCTCCAATTTAGATACCTGAACTACTGTATTACTATTTCTTTGGTCACATAGATATAGATCAGTACCTCTAGGTACCTGAAATATTGTGGAAAGTCCCATTTTTGAATATTTCAGGTATCTAAAGGTATCTATATCTGTATATATCTATATCACATGACATATTTCTATATTTTAGGTACAGTAACTGCCTGACATGTCAGATCTTCCCAATCTGGCACAGGTTGAAGTGCATGGAGGCCAGGTGACAGCTCCTGCCAGCTGCGCGAGCGCTCAGATTGGAGCGATGAAGCCGGGGGTCCTCTCAGGAGATTGAATGATTTCATGGGAAAAAAACGTATATATTAAATGGTGATATTAAACATATATAAATTTCCATGATATCTCCATATAACTAGATAAATGGTGATATCATGGAAATTTAATGGTGATTTAATGGGATTTCATGGAATTTAATGGTCATTTAATGGAATTTAATGGTGATTCAATGGGATTTACCCTCAGGTAATTTAACAGTTTGCTATTGTGATGGCCATAGAAATAGTTGATGACTAGCCATTAATAGCATGGTGATTTTCCATAGTTATTTGTATGTTTACCAGAGGGTATTTGAAAGGGATGGGCTAGAATGGACATTAATTTACTGTAATGGGTAAACATTTGGATATTATACTATCTACAAAAACATTCCCTGGATCCAATGGATATGCTGGATATAATCCGTTCCCCCTATTGGCTTGTGATGATCATCTCAATTGAGTGGGGCTCACATTTTTTGATCCTTGATGAACTTCCTGAAAGCGATGGACGTTTGAACCCTGTTGGGAGAATCCACCGTTTTTTTTTGGGGGGTCCCTAACTAGCAAATGCTACAATGTGAGGCCCCCGTTCGATAGCTAAGTCGGTGAACATAACTCCAATTTCACTATGGTTTATGGTACGCAAATAACGAACTAGTTACTGGGGCGAATCTAAACCAACAAACATCACTGGGGGGCCTACATTGTAGTTATATAAACATCTCGAAACCATAGGTTCAGTGCTGCATCTCTTCATGTTGGCGCCCCTTAAGACGGATGACTTCACAGGTGAGATTACCAGCGACGGATAGGCCATTGGGGAATTCCAAGCCATCCATTGCTTCACCGGCCCAGGGGTGGGCTTCATCCAAGAAATCTGGCACCTAACCATACCATCAACCCACTTGAAGCATTGGCCAACTGGTGACGAATTGGTGACGAATTGCTGCAATTTCTATGTCTATCTAGTTGGACATTCCTTTCAATCACTTTTGGTACCTTGAATAATTGAATGACACCACTGAAGCAACGGATGATTTCGGTAAAGTCAGGGATGCTGAGAAAAGATCGAAAGGTTTAATCCATGGCTGACTAGCAACAGTGGCTAAGACCCAATGAACCATGATACAACAACCCCAGTTTGGGAACTAGCTGCCCATAATAAAAAAGCGTATCAGTCGTATCGTTCTTAGAACGGACACCGTGGCAAGAGCATGAGGCGAAAATCTCTTGGTGGTTGGTGCGCCAGAAAACGCTGTGGGGCAGCTCAGGAGAGGAACGGTGATTACTTTTTTGGGCGACGGTCCGGTCACCTTGTTGAACGAGAAGAGATGGAGAAGACAGGGAGAAGACGGCTTTTTCATGACGTGGAGGTCTTGGAATGACGTGTTTTCTTGGACCTCTGGGAATGATTTGTTGATTTTTAAGAACTCAGTTAGAACTTCCATGACTTGTTTTCGAGATTTCTTGGAAGTTCTCAATTCCAGGACTTAGTTGCTGTCAAATCCACCCGTTGCTGTCCTTTTGCTGAATGGGATGACCATGCCATTTGATGGAATCCTTTACCAGCCATGCGTGTGGGAGGGTACGGTACACCCGACTTATGAAGCAGTTAGCCAACCGCATGGACATGTCTGGAACAAACCCCAGTCCACCAACCACAGTTCAGCAACCACTGTTGAGCAACTAACCACGGTTCAACAAATGTAGTTCCAAAGACTCACCCTGCCAGTTCAAAAACTACGGTTCAGCAATTCTGGTTCAGTAACTATGGTTCAGGGTTGTTTCAGGGTTTATTTAGTTTTTTGTTTGGGTTTATTTAGGGTCTATTTAGGTTTGGTTTACTGTTTATCTAGCTTGGTTTTGGGTTTATTTAGGCTTGATTTAGGGTTGTCCAACCAGATGTTCTTAGTTGTCGAACCGTTCGGCGGTTTTTTTGTTGTGGAACCAGGCGTCGTGCCGTCGTGCGACATATCTGAAATGCTTCGCAATGAAAGGCAGCCCAGGTCCACAAAGGCAACCCTGCAGAAGTGGATTACACATATTACCCTCTGGTTATGACTAACATAGCCATGGTATAGATGGCCCATAGAAATAGATGGTTCACCTATTAAAAATGGTGATTTTCCATGGCTATGTTAAATAACCAGATGGTATTTGTAGTGACATGTAGTGACTAAAGACTAAAGACTATACTGACTATATGGTAGTAATTATATGACTTTAAAACCTCGCCAGAAATGAGACTTAAGATTCTGGAAACTGTCAAACGCGGGCCTGAATTAGTTTTGTAATGTGTTGTACTTGTTATATCTTAGATTGACTATCAAGAGTGCTATCTACTTTGCGCCCACAACTTACAAAGCAACCCGTGTGTGTTAAACTTTCCTACCTTCAAGTAGTGCATCTCTTGCCGCCAAGTCATCCAAGTAACTGTTGCCACGATCTGACTCTTTTGGGTGAAAACCGGAATGGCAAACTCTTCCATTTTTTCGGAATTCTCAAATCATAACTTGTCCAGATAGTTTATAAGTTTATACTTTATAGATCGGCCCTCCAAATACCTAGAAAAATGGAGTAATATACCCATTATAATTATCTCAGTATGACTTGGGACTTTTACGTATCTTTATGGGGACAAACGGAGGGTTTAGCAGCAGTTTAGCAGCAGTTTACCTATTATATTCTCATTATACACCATTATTTCATCCATTTTATATCCCAATTATTCAAAATTTTATATCCCAATTATACACCATTATATACCCATATACCCATGATATATCCATTACATATCTCATTATATCAACCCATTACATATCCATTTATCTCATGTTATATCATTTTATATACCATTTATATCCCATTTATACCATAGCTACCTTGCAGCAGTTTGAACTTGGCTAAGCCAGGTGGTCGCTGCACTTCTGGCGAATAGCTGGGAACCTGGTTGCGGTTGATGGATGAGGAAATCATCTATAGATGGAATGTATATACATATAATATCATATAATGTGTATATATATATATAGATAGATGTAGCCTGATATTATCCCATATATATATACATATATATACATATATATATATATGTCTCGATGAATTTTAGTGACCTCACTCAGACGTCACTGGAATGATGGTTAGTAAGGGGAATCATGGCCTTTTTTCAGCTATTTTTAAGTTGGTGAACGGTTATAAATCAGCCAGAAATATATGAGAGAAATTCATGGAAGTAACTTTAGAACTGATGTGATGCTTGCTGTTGGTGGATTTGGCTGACTATCTGCCCACTAGGACATCAAAGGGGATGTTTCATGAACTCTCCCCCAAAGTGCCTCTCTTGTGTGTATTGTTGCAGGAAAGATCACTCAAACATTCACTGAAGTAGCTGCCAAGTTCGGTTCAGTTTTTGTTACCCCCAAAACTGAAACTCGACGCAAGCTCAGGCCTTGGACCTCAGTTGAGACTGTCATTTAGGGACAAAGTGATGAGATTTTGGGGCAGAATTTTTCACATTTTGCCACATTTTGCCTACTGAAAATGGTCCATTTGGATCCATAATTTAGCGAGGATCCACATGGTGATTTTCCATAACACATTTCCAGAGGGTACCCTCTGGTAATTTAACATAGCTATTGAAAATGGCCATTTATAGTGGATTTACTGATTGAAAATGGTGATTTTCCATAGCTATGTTAGTTTACCAGAGGCTATCCCAAATGTAGCCCCAAACGTTTGCGGATTCTACCGATTTTCATGCGGACTTAGCTGGGCCCCTCTGGTAATCAAACGTGGCTGGCTGGAAAATCCCCAATAAACGGAGGTTTAAATGGGAACATCATTTACACATGGTGGCTATATAACTAATGTGACGTTGTAACTGTTGATTTTTTTCACCCGAAGAATCTCACCAACGATACATGGTGTCCACCGGGAATGTTTGCTTGAGCGATTTTTTGGCCATTGAACATTGCGTGTCAAGACATCACCAGCTTGAATCAAACCTGTAACTTGTTTAGCTGTTTTTTTGGTTTGATAAGGATGTTGATGGATTGTGACCATCAACGCTGCAATTTTGCCCTTCTCATTCTGAAGGTTTCTTTTTGCGGCTGCTTCACTCTCAACCCAAACGCCGGTGTGTTGGGTCTGACGATGTCTGACGGTTCAAGAAACGCCACATCCAAAGCATCTTGTTGGATCCAAGTGATATAGTTGGCAGCCAGGCTTTCAAAAAAAACAACATCAGTGTGTGTGTGTTAATGACTTTATGTTCAGCTAGACATGGAACATGTGTGTTAATGACTTTATGTTCAGCTAGACATGGAACATGTGTGTTAATGAGTCTATGTTTAGCTAGACATGGAACATGTGTGCTAATGAGTCTATGTTTAGCTAGACATGGAACATGACATCTGACGATCGGAGTGATGTGTGACTGTGTGTGTGTGTCTTGTACACTGTCACTGTAGCAAACATGTATTAGTCGCCCTTGATTTTAGGCCCCTTACCGCATCGCAGAATGATCATAGAAAGCCTTAGAGTAGCTTTCATTGATCCACCAATCTGTATATATACAAGATAATACAAGGCAGCAGCTATGAACACTCCTTATTCTTCCTTATTCTATATCTATTGTTGGTCAGGGAAGAGTTCAGCCGCAGATCGCTGCCTGCGCCACCTTGGCTCGCCATGACGTCGGACAACCACGCGCCGGCGAACGAGCGACTTGACGGTTTTTTCGGAGGTCGATGGTCGATGGGTAGGTGCCGGTTGAGCCGGGGCAAAGTGGGATGATACCCAGCCAGTCACATGAGCATCATGAGATTACCATCCGGTAGTCAGTCACATGGCTGGAAAATCCGCTGGAAAATCTCCGAGATTTCTAGGAAAATCATCGAAGTCAATGTTGGCATTTCCAGGCCACGTTTCATTACCAGAGGGTATTGAGGCCTCATCCCAGAGGCCCAGAGATTTTGATGGCTCATGACAGAAAAACATGTCATTTTCGGATATTTTCGGGCCTTATGACATGTGGCATTGACAAGTTTATCGTTTGGCAATGAAGATAGCTATTGAACATCTCCATGTTTAATAACTTTCAATAGGTAAATCATTTATGAATGGCCTATTTCTATCGCAACAAACTAAAAAGAAGTGGGTATTCTTCGATCTCCTTCGTTCATCCTCTCCGATCTCAATGTTTTGCCGAACCCTTAGATCATCTGATACGTGGCCCGAGTAGAAACAGAAGATATCAAAGCAAAGCCTGTTCGAAGGTGGACTGCTATATGCTTACGATTGCAGTGATTCTGTCTATTTCACACAACCCAACCATAAATCAGACCCAATGCTGCTGTTGGGGGGGCGAGGCTTCAGTACATGCTAGACTGGAGTTTATCATTGGGGATACCACATTAAATCCCTGCAATCCTGCATTGATCTAGAAATATATATATCTAGAGATAACAATTCTATACAATTCTAAGCAATCAAGCTGTTATTTATCAATCATCTAATCCATTGATACATCTAGTCCATTGATAATATAATATAATCTAACCTTATTTCATTTTGTAGATCTGTTTCCATTAAGAATATGTGGATTTGACAGCTAACTGTAGCCATGCTCTGTGTGCTGAGGCATGACAAGGCCAAAGAAAGGGCTCACAGCTTTTTGGTGATCATGAGCCTTTCGACCGCCCCTGGCCTAGCAATCGGACATAATTGACATAATCAGACCATATCAAACCTCTCTGATGGGTGTGGATGCATCTGAAAATGGGGGCTACCTTCAAATGGCTATTTCAGAAGGAAATTGATGATGAACGAGTGGAAATGGGGGAACACTGCACCGTCTTTGTCACCCAGCCCAGGTCTAAACATGACATACAAAGATGAAGTAGATGAATGGGAGGATGAACATGGTCTGAACTAACATACCTGAACAAAGGTACTGAGGTAAAACCAATGCCATAAACCTACCATGTGGGGATCATGTTAACAACCCATTTATATCCATTTATATACATTTATGATCATTTATGTCAATATTGGGGATGTTTTATTTTTGAGTTCTCCACATTACCAGGCTTTTGACCCCCATTTTCTCATGACCGTTCTGCCATACAGCATCCACCCAGGATTGCCTTAAGGCCCCCCCAATACATTGGGTCTAAAAAACGAAGCAAAGCGCAGAGATCTTCCTTGGAATCCATTGATCACTTAAAAGGCCCCTTCTTTCGCTGAGGTGTTTCTCTTTTCCGGCACCGTCTTCGGCTGGGGCGCCTTTAGCTCGATGCTCTTGCAGGTAAGCTGGGATTGCGCGGTTGTCCATTTCCCTCTGGTAAACATACAACTATGGAAACTATGGAAAATAATTAACTATTTTTAATGGGTAAATGAACTATTTCTATGGCCATTTTCAATAGCCTTGTAAATTACCACTGGTTGCCCAGTTGCTGACACGAGTCAGGGCACCTCAATCAGTCAATCTACTGTAAGTAATCTTACCCCTTGGGCCCTGTGCTGCACCCCCTTGATCAGGTTCTTGTGGTTGCTTTTGGGACCAGGGCGTGCAGAGTTTTTCATTTTTCGTTCAGACTGTACAGCAAGAATAGATGCGTTGATGATCGTTGATGCAAATGCTTGAAAAGCTTATTCCCCAACCTCAAAGTCGGGCATATTTGTTGGTGAAAGGCTTGAATTGGGAAGTCCATGGTTCCAAGTTGGATTTTGAAGCCGGTAGCGTATCATTGCTTGGAGGTCCTGTGACTGGTAGTGCCTACAACGTTTGTAGGTTTCTTTGGTTTCGCTGCGAAAAAGAGAGAACAGATTGGAAGCCAAACCCATGTTGTCAGTTCAGTTCAGGTTGGATTTTTGTTGTCCTGCATTTATATGTATATATATATATCGATTATATCGATTCTTGAGAGATAGTCTTAGTTATATAGTGTAGGTATGTTTGCTTTCCTTTGTGCTTTGGAATCAGAAGATCCAACGCTTAACCTTGATCCTCTATCATCACCATCACCATCACCATCACCAGCACCAGCACCACCAGCATCATCAGCATCATCAGCATCAGCATCAGCATCAGCATCATCATCATCATCATCAGCATCATCATCATCATCATCATCATCATCACCATCACCATCATCATCATCATCACCATCATCATCATCATCATCATCACCATCACCATCATCACCATCACACCATAAACCTCGATGCCTCACGATGCCTCACGATGCCTCGCGATGCCTTGGTGTTTTACCGCACCACAGGAAGGCTACTACGACTATCTCTGCGTCACACCGGACAAAGATCACCCTTGCGAAAAGCAGCATCTGGGCAGCCCTGGGCCGTCCGTTTTGTGCGTCCAAGGCTGAAGGTACACGCGCAAAAGTTAGTATCCATGGTAGTAGGTGCTGGATCTCCTGACATCAGCTATTTTCCATGGTATTTTCATCATCGTGCCCTCGTTCAGGAATGTTGCGGATACATTTCGGAACTATGGATATGACTCACATCTGATTCACATCTGATTCACATTTCGTCACATTGATTCACCAACGGATGATCGCAGCACATTGACGGTAGCTGGTGATCGCTGGGTTCGATCTCAGGTTGCAGGCGCTGAACAACGCCTTCACTTTGGCCACAACCTTCGTTCCCTGGCGAAGCAGGGAGCTACCAAAGATTAACAGTAATGATAATGAAGAGTAATTATGAATAGTATAAATTAGTTAATGATAACTAAGAGTATAGGTAATTGTATATTATATCACTAAGATTTTCCGAAGCACATAGTTCTGGGGTTCCAACTGGGGTAGTTTTCATGAGCAGGGCTTGAATCACCCCCAAGGCTTGTGGGTGTGCCTGCAACATCCTCACTGATTACTGTAAAATATCACCTATAGATCTAGGATCAGGGGTAATGATTGATTGTATGCAGCTATAGCTTCCAAAAAGATTCAAAAAGTAAATTTTCGCCCAAGTGGGTTTTACGTAAAACTGGTCTATACCGTACCCTGCCTGGTCATCATGTTCCCGTTGAAGAATTGGGATCCATTGGGTATAACCAGACTATGTAAGAGTCATTTAAGGAGTTGCTGTAGTCTTACAGGGATCCAATAAATGCTCCCGATTCCAGGTCTAAAAAAAGCCATTATTTTCCCAATCATGTGGGATAATCATTATTTTCCCAATATCATTATTTTCCCAACCAGTAATCATCTTGATGTTTAATGGTTAACTCAGAAATCCCAATCTTTAATTAAATCCCAAGTTTTCATTATTTCGTTATAAATCGTTTCTTGCTGAAAGCTCGATATTCTTAAATTGCAAGTTGTGAAAATAGGTTTCTTCGTCAGGATAACTAAAAAATAGCAACTTTAAATAACCATTTATGATGCTAAAATACATGTAAATCATTGTTCTAAACGGCTTTCCCTACAATGTGAGGCCCCCAAGATAGCGTTCAGTTGGTTTATAACTCCAATGTCACTATGGTTTATGGCACTTATAACGAACTAGTTACTGGGGCTTTTGTTAACCAACAAACATCACTGGGGGGCCTCACATTGTATAGTTTTTCCCATGCCTTCCCCATCTTTTTAGCATCGAAACCCCGGTTCCCCCCTTTCGGCCTGAAACCGGGGTGAACCGGGGGGTCGGAGGTGTCGCTGACGGCCTTCGTGAACGGCTGGTTGGTGGATACCTTGGGACCGACCAAGGTGACCATCATTTCAGGCGGTCTTGAGATAGGTTGGATAGATTGGAGAGATGGACAGATGGATAATCAATACGTATTATATATATATATATATGTACGTATATAATATATAATATACACATTATTTTTATAGATATATGATATGTAATATATATATATACATATATAGATGGATAGATGGATAGATGGATAGATGGATAGATGGATAGATGGATAGATGGATAGATGGATAGATGGATAGATGGATAGATAGATAGATAGATAGATAGATAGATAAGAAAGTAAGATAGATAGATAGATAAGATAGATAGATAAGAAAGTAAGATAGATAGATAGATAGATAGATAGATATGCTGTATACTGATACAACTGTTTTTTCTAGTTTGGAATGTTTGGAATGCTTCAAAATTGCACCGCAAAGCGCGGATGGGGGACCCCAATCTTGTCCCATTAGCCATGTGGAGATCTCAGTTTACTTGCGCATGTAGTAGGTTTGCCATGATGTGTTTGCCTTTGTTTTGGTAAGTTTAGCATATTTTTTGTCGAACTATTTGTCATCCACTGAAAAGTGCTATCAACACTCCAGATTTTGTGATCCAACAGATGTTGCTGATGGAATGGTTGTATAATGTTGTTCATAGATTGCTGCTTTGAATGGGTCAGAAATGGTCAGAATCCATGCTTCATATCCCACGAATAGGTCAGATCGATCAGAATATCTCAGAATCGGTGGATCTCCGCCGCAAGGCGTGATGAACTGCCTGGGTTTGATGGGCATTGCCTTGACCAAAGCTTTGCCATGGTCACACCATGAGGCGAGTCGGCGAGTGGCAAGCGTTCAACTTGGGTTGATTTTTGCTGGTTTCCATCAATGGGGGTACCCCCAATAGCTGGATGGATAATGGAAAATCCTACTATGATTTGGGGGTACCCCTATTTTAGGAAACCTCCATAAGGTGGTGTTTTAAAGGCCAATATTCTGTTGGATGTTTGAGATGCTACATGCTTTGCCTGGATTAATAAACCCCAAACGGCTGTTTAATTGGGAGGGTATCCGAAAAAAGTATCAGATTATGACTATTGGAGGAGTACCCCCCTAATTAATAAACCATGGTTTATTCATCCGGGGTTAACATTACATGCTTTGCCTGGCAACAAATCTCACAAACTCAGTTTGGCACGGTGTTGGCGTGGCATTGGCGCCGGAAATCTCTGGGTCAGTGCGCAATTCCACCACCGAAAACAAGGATCGAGCCCCGAATTCGCCGCTCGGGATGGGGATCGGGTTCTGGATACTGATGCTAAGATTTTCCTAGGAACATCTAGGAACTATATAGATAGGTGTACTAATCAGATATCCTTTCCGTCCCTTCAATCCCTTCCTGGAAATTCCTAAGAGTTTGCTGTGGACATCACCATGTTTCATGATTTTCATGGCTACCCTCAGTAAATGAGCCATCTATAGCTACTTCGCTATGTCACTTTCCTGCTCAGTTCAGGCGGCTGAGGGTGGCTTCGACCTCTTCCTGTGGTCGCTACTGCTGGTGGCTGTGGGTGGCTCCATGACGATGTGTCCTGAACGATTTAAGGATCGTCCCTTGGGGTGAGGATGGAGAAAGCGTAAGGGTCAAGGCCACGTAACTTTTTGGGGGAAACGGTCCATGGCGATTTCAGCATCAACCGTATGGAATCAATGGGATCGAATGGGGATATTTGGAAATGTTTAACCAGCCACAGCCTGAAAAGGGTGTCTGAAAATGGCTTTCGATACCCTTTGTTACCCCCACAATGGCAATTCTCAGAGGGAAACGAACGATCATCCGAATTCCCATCTTCAAACAAAGCCAACTGAATGGATTGTGGTCATAGCTGCGAAGATTTTTTGTCTCTTTTTGATACCCTCTGGTAATTTAACATAGCTATTGAACATGGCCATTTATAGTTGATGTATCCATTAAAAATGATGATTTTCCGTAGTTATGTAAACGTTTACCAGAGGGTAGGTGGGTTTACGGTTTGTACATCATTGATCTGACTATTCTTCTTTTAGCAGTGGACCAACAAACCACGAAGTAGATACTTATCAACAGGTCATGTGAACTGCTTAAATTCTTGGTTTGGGATAGGTTGATGGGTTAGTTTCTGTAGTTTTCATGCGAACAGATTCATTGCATTTTGTTACCAAACAATCTTGATGTTTCATGCCGAGAGGTCTGGAGGTGTGGGCTTAGACAGCGCAGAATATCTCAGATATCTAAGGTCTTCCCGTGGGTTTTCCCAAATTTTGCGGGTCACGGCTGTGAGGTTCATCGGATATCAGGCGCCTTTCCTAATCCCCTCACACTTCACGCTGTTGATTGAAGCTTGGCAGATCCCGGACTGCGTCCGATGCGGATAGTGGATGGTTGGGCCTGCATTGTTTTTACGCAAAGTTAGATACTTATGCCTAGAGCCACCAAGTACCTTGAAAAGTGGGGCAATATACCCATTGTGACTTGGGGCGTTTACCGTTTACCAATTTTATGCTTCAAATGGAGGGTCTAGAGTCTGGTAGTTCTTTACATCCTAAACAAATGAAATCCGCAGAAGTTCTTGTTTGGCCATACCGTCGTAGGTTAGGGTGTTTGACCATGACCATGACACTGATGGGCTATCGCATGGTCCAGTGGGTTTCGTACTACCCCGAGCCATTTACTGTCACTACCCTCGGGTAATCAACGTGGCTGGCTGGAAAATTCCCTATGAATGGAGGTCTTAATGGAAAACATAATATATATATATACATAATTTATATATAAATTACGGATTGGTTTTTGATATTTTGCTGTGTCAACATGGATATATTGTACTCATATATAAATATACGTATGCTATTTCTCGATGTAAATACAGCCAAACATTTTTTTTTGGATGGTTAGTTATATGGAAAATCAACATAAGTATCTACTCTAGATATTGTCCCCATGGTGGTTTTAAGTTTCTCATTACTTTTCCATATCAACCTATGGACTTCTCCCGTGTAGGAAGTGAACAGCTGCCTCTTTGATGCCGGAACGATTATCTTTCCAGCGCCTGGGCGTGGTTGAGTTCAGCATACAGTTGAATGGCAAAAAGTTGAAATATGTAGGAATAAAAATAGGTTACCCTCTGGTATATAAACATATGGGGGTATCCCAAATGGATGGTTTATAATGGAAAATCCATCTATAAATGGATGATTTGGGGGTATTCCTATTTTAGGAAACCTCCATATACCCTCTGGTTATGACTAACATAGCCATGGAAAATCCCAACCATAAATGGAGGTTTCTAGCTGGGAAAATCATCTATAAATGGGTCATTTTCCATGGCTATGTTGAATAACCAGATGGTAACATTTGCGGGTTTCTAAGTCTGAAGCGCGAATCATGGCTGGGCGTAGCTCTTGGCTGGAACAAGATCTGGAATTTGACATGTGGAATCTTGTGATACCCTGTGCAGTCCGTCCATTTCCGCCGAGCATCTTTTTTTTCAAGGGAACATCAATCATATGGTCCAGAGAGACAGCTTTAGCTGGAGCTGAAAGCATAACACGACCGATTCAGTGATGGATGTGGTTGGAAGTGGTTAATTCATGTTAATTCAGTGATGCTTCTGAAAATGGGGGAGAGCCCCAAATAGTTATCTTAATAGGGGAACATGAGGATAAACCAGTGGATGTAGGGCTACAGCAGCTACAGCATCTCAGCATTTTTGGGCAAGCCTAAGATGACGAAAATCGGTTCCCAGGATTCTCATTGCTGCCAGTTCGAGGTGTTGAAGTTGCTGTACGACGTGGGCGTGCCATTCAGTGCCTTCTTTTGGACCTACACCGTGCTGGGAATGCTTTGTCCCAAGCTGCAAAACATGGGAATCCGGGAATCCCGGGCATTTGACGGGAACATCTATAAATGGTGGTGCCCCATAGTTAGCTAAAATGGTTTATAACTCCCATAACTATGGTTTATGGCAGATATAACTATAGTTAGTGGGGTTTATAAACCAACTTGTAACTGGGGGGCACCATCCTATAAATGGTGGATAGTCCATTAACATTGCCAGAGCTATTGTCCCAATGGATCCAACCATGGCACTTTGGCCGAAAAATCATTTCTCAAGGAGTCCCGAAATTTCCTAGCGGGTGTCTGAGAATCAATGACCATGTTTGCATTGTGACGCTTCGATATAGATTGCAATAGAAATAGGATGGAATATGCAGAAGGGCAGACTGCCTGTCCAGGAGAGTAGATAACCTGTGTAAACTCCAGGATCGAGCATCGGAACTGATCAATTCTGTTGCTTAACGCACAAAAGCGGATGCTAAAAATTAGCACAGGGCCGCTGAAATGTGATGATCCTTGTCATGACTGGACTTGGGCAAGCCATGCTTAACCCTGCAATCGGGGACCACCCAATAATTACGGGAGAATCTGACTTTCTTGGAGTACCTTTATCTTTTTCATACACTGTAACTTTAGCGAACATGAGTTTCTGAAATCAAAACCGTTTCTTTTTTTATGTTGTTTCCAATTGAACGTTTTCTATTTGGAATATCCCCAGTAAGAAGACATGAAATACTTCTATGTCTATGGAGAATAAGCCAAGGACGATTTGGTCACGCACCGCTTGTTTCAGAGACACTCATCTCATTCAAACGTTGCTTATATAGTTATTATCCCATGAATTTCCCATTGTACTGGTACCACCATATTTCAGGGTAAAACAAAAACCTGGTTGGCGGTTTGGAACATTAATTTAATTTTTCGATTCAGTTGGGAATGTCATCATCCCAACTGGCGAAATCATATTTTCAGAGGGGTAGGTATACCACCAACCAGAAACATGTAACAAAACCATAACCTCTGAAGTTCCTTGAGATCCAATTAAATGTATTAATTAAATCCCCATCAACCCAACAGTTTTTGCCTATAGTTTTTAAGTAAGTTACCTCCGGAAGCATAACTACGGAAAATCAACATTGATAATGGTAAATCATCACCCTAAATGGACCATACTCATTAATGTTCGCTTATCTAATATTAGTATGTTGTAATATATATATATACACGCACACATTCAAATAAAAAAGACGATGACATTCCCATATTCCAGCACTATATATACATATATATATATCACCTGGATATATAATTTTCACCAACCCCCCTTTTGGCTTCACCATTGATGGTCAGGATTTTTCGACATTCCTTTCTATTAAACACTATGAAAAACCACCACATGAGCTGCTGGGTCTGGTAATCGAACATGGCTGGAACATCCAGGCACAAAAACATGGCTGCTGCCCGAGTCAACAACTTACTGGGATTTGACCCTCATGTCTCAACGTTGTTTATGGGCGAAAGCCACCATTTGATATATCCTCCGTCACATATGGACACCATTCGACATTCCGAATTATGAAAAACACTAAGCCAATCTAAGCCACCATTTTTAAGTTACTGACATTTTTGTTGATCCTCATATCATGTCTCAATGTCATGTTGGCGGCATGCGTCACGGCTACCATGACACCAGGCCATGACAGGTGCCCCGCCTCGGTGCCCAGGTTTTTCCCTCCTCACCGTGGCCTGGGCTCTGAACGGCCGGGAGTTGGATGGGATCCGCCAAGCCGCCGGAGGCGCCGAAGCCAACGGCAACGACGGCAACGCGCAGAGGCATCGACCGCTGGAGCAGAGAGGCCGGGTGGGGTGGTTTGGGGCAAAATTTCCCAGGATTTTGGGGGGAAGCCATGGGAGGTCATCGAAGATGGGAAACACGCATATTTGACCAAGGAAAAGATCGGATTTACAATTGACTAAATAGGAAACACATGTGAAACATCGGTACTTAGCCAGGGAAAACATGGAATTTAACTATGAACAAAAGAAAGATTGACCCCGTAAAACTGCACAGTTGGGAAAATATTGGAACTTTTGTGAAGATCTTTTAAGATGAAGGGAAAACTAAAGATCTACATAGTTTGGGGAACATGGATCCAGAAGAGTGGATGGTGCTGGATGAGAGTGCTTGGGGAGTTGAAAAAGTGGCTACATGAGGTTAAAGCATGTTGATTATATGACCTATGTGAGGTTTATGATTTGAACATTGAATGCATGGTGAGTCATTTTCTAGACCCTCAGTCTATCCGTCAAAAAACGGTCAGTGAGGTAAACCCAGTGCCATCAACCATCCCCAATTGCGGTCTATGAAGTTGTGTATGCCATGTTTTAAAATGACCTTCTTACAAGATCCCCCTATTCTTGGTTACACGGATGGTTTGTGGCGTTGAATAGTTTTTCCTGAGAATAATATGCCTACCAACATGTAAAATCTATTTCCTTGTGATTCGGAAAACAGACAACAGTCTTCATGCAGTGTTTGAGATCACTAAAGCTGCGCACTATCAACAGCAACTTGGGTCTCATGGCATCTTAGCCGGGAGTTCTTTGAGATCACTAAAGATGCTATAGCGATGCTCCCAGCTCACTACCCAAGGGGTCTCCCGCAGGTATGTTACAACAACTAGTGAGCTGGGAGTTCGCGGCCATCTTCATCTACAGCATCATTCAGGCGAGCGGCACAAGATCAAACCGCTGGGGATGAACAAGTGGACAGAGAACACACCGAAATTCTGGCCCTGGTGATGTTTATGATTATTGGAATTATATCATGAGGACGATGGTATAGTTGGTATAGTAGATCAATCTACTCGCTAGTACATTACATGTTCTATTATATTGTACTTCATTGCTGTATGACACAGGACGACGTTTTTTTTTTTAATATCAATGTTTACAGTATATGAAGATCATGTCTTGTTCACATTCGTATCAACATACTATATCAATGCATACTATCTACTACTAACTACTACGTATGTTGATGGCCCAAGTTTTTCTGGATCTCGACTCCACACGGAGCGAACCGGGGGCCATCTGGCTTAGAATTAAAGAATATTAAAGACCTAGGGGAACCACAGATTTTACTTTAACCATGTTCGATATATATATGAGCGACGGCTCTTATTTGCGTATATGGAAAGTAGTATTCGGACGTACCCCGGTTTGTCAAAAACATTATATTTAGCTTGTAAAACGAGGTAGGAACACCCCGAGAACGAGGTAGGCAAAAACGTTACGGGACTGGAGAACGAGGTAGGAACACCCCGTCAATTGCGTTATGTAACAAATATGGTCCGCAGCTCATATATATATATGTATGATTATAATTGATTGTCTTAGGTTAGACATCTATGTGTAGTATAATCATCCAGAACCATCCAATTAATTGTCAAATTCTTGGGCTTTCTATTCAGTTGTGTATCTGGAGCCATGGCCATGAACTACGCACCACAGACCCACCGGGCTTGCAGATGCATCACCGAAAAGATGCTGGCTGGTTTTTTTTTGTGAAAATCATTCGCTTTACCCTCTGGTAAACTAACATAACTATGGAAAATCACCATTTTCAATGGGTAAATCCACTATAAATGGCCATTTTCAATAGCTATGTCAAATTACCAGAGGGTACCACCTTCAGATTATAAGATGGTAAACTGCATCATAAAGTCAATGAGATACGATTTTTTTTGCAGAAATACTGCAGGTTGTATTGCGTAATCTGTCCAATGTTTTTGGTTTATGATTGGGTTTACTAACGTTACTTTTATATATTCTATGAAATCATCCAAATTTGGGTACATGCTGGGATGTGCATCCAAGTTGATAAGTGGGTAACAAGTAACAACCATATTTTAAGCCAGTTCTTTGTCGTATATACAGCTCAGTTGCACATAGTTCTACGTGGCTTATGAATCACTTGCTACTTGGATCCCACTTTATCATACTATATAAATATCTCTATAATTCTCTATACATATATATATATCTGGTTGGTGGTTTGGAACATTTCTTATTTTTCCATATATTGGAAATAATAATCCCAACTGACGAAATCCATGATTTTTCAGAGGGCTAGGTCAACCACCAACCATATGCATAAAATTATATATATACATACCAATATATATATATATATACATATATATATCCCCATTAATATCCCATTCTATCACCATTTTTTTGTGTGAAATATGGTGAAATCTTCGACATCTTGATGGTGGCTTCGATGTTTAGGTGCCACGCGCCAATATGTACATGGGTAGTGTCGAGCTGATCAACCGCCACTGGGTGCTGGCGGGGGCGAAAGGGCTTGCGAAGGTCTGGAGACGACGTTTATTTCACCATATTTCACCAAGCATGGGGATAGAATGGGATATTAATGGGGATATAGATATATATATATATATAGATATATAGCATATATATATATATATATAGTATATATATATATACATACTATATACACATATATATATATATATAGTATGATAAAGTGGGATCCAACTAGCAATTTGATCAGTTGACCTGGCTTTGTTTTTAAGGCGATGGTTTTTCCCGGAAATCCACCATAGTTGGTATGTCATATCTGCCATATCTGCTATATCCGTTCCATATTGAGAGGGAACAAATTGAGTTCTTAACTGGTTGGTGCTTTGGAACATGGCCCTTTATGACTTTCCATGAAAAGTTGGGAATTTCATATTCCCAACTGACGAAATCCATGATTTTTCAGAGGGCTAGGTCAACCACCAAGCAGAAGATCGCCCGAAAGGTGATGGTCAGGTCCCCCAGGTCATGAAAATAGGCCCGGTGTGACTCGTTGTGATGGCACATCTCGTTGTCATTGGTTGGGAAACATCTTGACCAACCATGGTGTCTGTTCATGAAATATGAAGCTTTCCTGCTCCCAACATTTCCCAACTCAACCAGCACAGGGCGGCCAGGGCGAAGGGTTGGGTCAGCCAGGTGACATATCATAGATGTATTTGATTATATTTGGAGATGAAATTCAAGATTCAATTGGACTTACGAATAATACACTATAGGCAATGCGTGATCCCAATATCTGTTGGCAAAGTGAGTGAAATCCCCAATTTTCGCCGAGGCAAAATCGCAGGATTAGAGGGACACTTCAGCCCAGAAACCGCCACTCGGAACTGACGATGGGGTGCTCTGGGTTGAGCAAGCAACACTGGACCACCGGGAGGGTACACTTATGAATTACACCATAGCTATGGAAAATCACCATGTTAATGGCTAAATTGGCTAAATCATCTATAATTCAATGGGTCATTTTCCAGTAAACATACAAACAGCTATGGAAAATCACCATTCTTACCATCTTTAATGGCTCAATCATCTATAAACAGGTCATTTTCATAGCCATTTTCCATAGCTATTAGTGACATTGCAAGTATGGGTAAGTCACCATGTCTCTAAGACCTCGGAGACAGAAGATGTCCAGCTGTTCTTTCAGGGTCCACCTGGTAGCACCAGCTGGTTGCACCGCCCAGAACGAGCCCGTTTCACGACCGCCCTGGTTGGAAGGGTTGGAATCACCTCAATTATTATGGCTATGACAACAAGTGGTAGAATGATGATGATTAAACACTTGGAATCATGGCCTTATTTTGGCCTTATCATGTTTAATCTCAACCAAGTGGCCTTATTTTGGCTAGGTGAATTATTATGATTCAACCAGAATAATTATGAATAATGGCTTCCTTCCAGTGATTTTGCTGTATCATTTACCAACTACTATACCTGGCAAGCCGTTGTAGTGATAATCATGATAGCTCATGATAGTAATACAACTATAACGCTATAACTGACTAGAACTTCAAGGTATGGTTCATTGGATCATACAATTGGTAAATGATATGTTTATCATTTATGTATATTTATGTCATTTACCGAACAAATACTATGCAACTATATCATTGTTCTTTGGATCATATGTTGTTTTAACTTCCTTGGCTTCAAGTTATACCTTGACCTGCAGGTGGCAGGAGTTTCGACCATCACAGGCCGGCGTGTTTTTTGCATGTCACGGGTTCGTTGGTGGTTTTTTCACGGCGAGGTTTTAGAGGGGTCTGGGCTATCCATGAAGGTTATATGACTACATATGTTTTTGTAGGTCTTTCTGAAGTTTTCATTATCATAATGATTGATGATTATTAAAATGGGGATATCATATGGATTTGTTTAGGATTATACTGGGATGTATCAGCAACAACACAATGTTGGTTGTCTGAAAAACGGAGTATACCCATAAAATGGTAGTGTTTTTTTGTTTTAATTGGGGACATGGGACATATGATGACTACCTACTAGATTTTTGGGTCCCCGATTATATGATCATGTTTGAAGGCTCTATAAACATGCAAGTCAAAAGACTCTGCATAATCCCCTCCCGTGTTCATATTCAACACCTCTCATAAACCATTGTGGATGTAGGGGATGAAATCACATATGACTGGGACCATTTGCAGCCCAGGTTTTAACAAGGTATTCCAGTCTGACAAAGGTGGTCCCCAAGAAACAAAACCACTTGATATTTTCCACTTATTCCAGTTATCAGATGGTATACCTTAGTTCGATTGTGTTATTCCTGTCATATCCCAGTTGTATCCCCAATTGTCCCGTATATGTAAATATATATGTAGATATACATATATATATATATATATATGCAAATCCCAGATTATAGCTCAAGCAGGATTACTCATCTGCAAATACTGTTATATACTGTAACACTTTATGCAATGCAATGTATTACATCCCAAGATGCGTTCCCAAACGCGTCAGCCATGCTTCATCTTTCCAGTCATTTATTCCAGCCATTCCAGTGAGAGTACCATATTCTATGTATATATATATATGTATTTATTATCATACATTATAACATCCCATATATTATCCCATTTTTGTTATCCCTTATTATGTCCCCAAAAATCATCTACAACATATCTTATCCCATGCTCATCTTATGCATTATATACATATATACATACTCACATACATAGTCCAAGATTTCACCCAGCCAGTTACATCAGCCAGTTACATCAGCCAGTTACATCAGCCAGTTACATCAGCCAGTTACGATATAGCAATCATCCGTTTTTTTTCGATGTCCCACAGATATCCAAGGCATATATTATATATCTTATATATATATATACATATCATGATATATCATAATATATATATATAATATAATAAGATATAATATATAATATATAAAATTATAATATATAATGATATATAATTTTGAAGCATTCACAGATCTCAGGCCATGTCTCCCACGGTAAACTCCACGTGTGCCAGGCTTCATCATTCCCTTCGGCTTCCTGGCGGTTCCTCTCATCGAGCTCTGCGTGCATCGTCTGGGGACCATCCCAACGGTGCAGGTCACCACCCTGCTGGGCCTCTTGTACAACGCCCCATGGCGACAGGGGGGCCTTGCAAAAGCCCCCAAAAACGGGAACAGTAACTTGTCACCATTGAAGTAGGAGTTTACTTTTCTATATTTTTTTTGGGGTTGCTATATATATATATAATATTAGATGATATATATATATATATATGTAGATACTTGTTAGATGTTTAGAAACTCATGAATCTTCCAGCCCAACTATACATATGTACATGTTTGTGCATTGCGTAAAGATTAGACCGTTGGAAAAACTTTGGGATTTGGTGGAGGCTTTGATGATTTTCAACCATTTTTCGTCATATTCAGCAGCAAAATCCCCGGAGATAGAACAGCATCCCTGGGGGAAAAAACGGACATTGGACTGGTGGACCCTGTGAATTGGAGAACATCACTGCCAAACATCCTCATTATACAAAAGCTAACCAAGTCAATGGTACCAAATGATTCATGTGATATGATGATGATGGCCACTTGTGAAATAGCAATGGAGTCAACGCTTCATGACATTGTGACATAGAGTGTAATTCAGTAGGAGTTGACTGGTTTTCCGTTGTCCCATTTTGAGGTTGTAGGGGCTCATGATTGTAGCGCAGGCACGTCAAACCCATTTCGGATTCAGTTTTTGGTGGGTATCCTCTGGTAATTTCACATAGCTTTGGAAAATCACCACTTCAAATAGCTACATCATCTACAAATGGGCCATTTTCCATAGCAGTGTTAAATTACTGGTGGCTAAATGCTTGGAAGGGAGCTTGGCACGAAAGAGATGCCCCAGATGGTGATGATGGCGACTTTCGCCGTTTTATTTCTGCACACATTTGTCAAAGAATGGTTCACCTGCTATTGAAAACAGACCATTTGTAGGTGATTTCGCTGCTTGAAATGGTCATTTTCCATAGCTATGTCAAATTACCAGAGGGTAGTATAAATGGGTTAGTCTGAAAATAGGGTGCCCACAATCCCACAGCTTATGATCGATTTCCCGATTAACAATTTCGGTTGTATGCCAAAGTTTACAGACATACCAAAATAGAGCAGATTGGATTCAAAATCAGGTGGCCACCGGTCGCTGGCCAAATTTGCTAGTTATTCTGGAGGATGTCAATGGCATACCCGATGGTAAACTAACATAACTATGGGAAATCACCTTTCTTCATAGGTAAATCAACTATGAATGGCCAGTTTCAATAGCTATGTCGCTATGTTAAATTACCAGAGGGCAACTGTTGATATGGATTTGTCTAAGAATGCACCCCAGAAACCCCGAAATGATCATCGGGCCACTGGGAAAATCATGATTTATACGTCAAAAATAACTCATCAATTGTGGTAGCCCAGATGCTCCATGGTGCTGGAATATGTACCTACATTTACCTCAAACATGACCCAGTTTTGTAGGTAAATATTCCAGCACCATGGAGCATCTGGGAAGGTTATATATAGATCATCGATATTTTGGGGCACTTCATTTTCAGGCAAACCCATATTGTTGTCGATTTTGTGGGAGAAGGCACCAGGAAAACTGTTGGACATGTGCCCGGACGAGCTAGACTTCGGTTTCATAGACATTTCATGATATATATATATATATTTATATACATATATAATGTTATATTTTATTATATATGTATAGTGCCGGACAACTACTTAGAACGTCGTTTTGGATTTTTTTCGGTGGGTACGAACCTTCTACTTAGAACATGTTCGGCGAATAGGGGACGTACGTTCTAAGTGACTTAGAACATATGAGGATCCTCTACTTAGAACACGCCATCATATATACATGTAAATATATGTATATGTATACATACATACAACTTAACACTGCATATTTATATTATATATACAGGAGGTGTGATGTTGCGTTAAGATACATGGAGATGTCTATATTGAGGTATATTGAAATTATATGACCGATTGAGCGGTTGGAATGGTCCAAAGCCCATGTGTGGCTCAAATTGGATCCTGGGGGATCCATTTCACATACAGTACCATGGCGGAAGCACCACCGCTTCCACCTCCCGGAAGTCCGCCTTCTGACCTCCTACAGCTTCTTAGGAGAGAACCCACAAAACCTCTACTTAGAACGTATACGTTCTAAGTAGTGATCCAGGATCACTACTTAGAACGTGTTTTGGAATTCCAAAACCAACGTTCTAAGTAGTTGTCCGGCGCTATATATACATATATATGCATATATGTATATGTATATATATATATATGTATGTATATGTATATATATATTATTATATCATTATATCATTATGTCATTATATCATTATATTATTATTTTAGTATACGGTATACGTATTATTATATTATTATATTATTGTATTATATTATTATAGCATTGTACGTATTATTATGTTTTTATATTATTAAATTTATTACATTATCATTATATTATATTATTATTATATTATCATTATTATATTTTTTATGTTATTATATTTTTTATATGACTATATTATGATATTATGATATTATCATATTATTATTATTATCTATTTATTTGATTATTATTATTATTTATTATTATAATATTTATTTATATACATAATCTGCCTCAGTTTTGAAGATCAATAATCCCAAATTACGTGAGCCAATTTCAGCCAATAACCCCAAAATGGCATGCTGGCATCTAATCACCCCAGATCATCAAAGGTGCTGGCATCTTGACCTTCCATGTCAACGATTTTTTTTTTTCTGGCTATCAACTAGTAAACATCATGGGATTTAAAACAAATTAAGTAAATCAACCAAAAACATATCCCACTGGTTGGTGGTTTGGAACATTTCTTATTTTTCCATATATTGGGAATGTCATCATCCCAGCTGACGAAATCCATGATTTTTCAGAGGGGTAGGGCTCAACCACCAACCAGCCCACAATTGGATATCAACCAAATATATCCAAAAATTGGATATCCAAACAAGATGTAGGAAATCCGTTTGAGCATTTCTAGCATGGCCATTTCCAAGGCCATGCAGCTGGTTCCCGTGCAGCTTGGCTGGAAATGACCCAAACTCGGAGCATTTTTGTTGGTTGATCTCACCAGTTTGAATAATTCAATGGTTTACTTTAGTATCATTACCCTCTGGTAAACTAACATAGCTATGGAAAATCACCATTTTTAATGGGAAAATCCACTATAACAATGGCCATTTTCAATAGCTACGTTAGTCATTAGCAGAGGGTATTTGGTGGATGATTTTGGTGGATCTTCCCAAACCATTCTTCTTTTTGTTGGTTGAATTAGCCAATTCTTGAATCTCAGAACGGTTTGTCAATGGAATTTCAGGATCCTGAAATGGAGGTACTGTACCACATAAGGCCATATTTTGTGGGGATATTCCCGTACATAGGCCTTATATAGGCCTTATATATGGTAGGTACCTCCAATTTAGGTTCCTGAAATGGCCATTGAGTTTGTCCAAGAATAAGCTATCCCAATAATCCAATGGTTTAGTATCATTCCCCCGCTTGAAATTTCAATTCTGGGGTAAAATCAGAGCCTTAGATGGATGACAATGGACCCATAGGTTTGGCTTGAAGCATCTGAATCAGATTGATTTCTGGTATCAGCTTCAACTGCAAAATGGCCGGGAAATCAAATGCCAATCCAAGCGGGGGCTGTGGAGTGGGGCGTAAATGTTGGCGTACATTACTCTGTTGTCTAAGTCTATGTTTTTTGATGTATCTCCATTCATTCTACTATACTGTTTTAGATATATAATTTAAATTATATATTTTATATTGGGTGATTTATATCAGCTAAATACAGTCATATACCTATGTTGACATCAATTAGATATAGTCATATACTATATAGTGTTGCAATTCCACTACTATTACTATTTCATTACTATTACTATTTCTATAATCATTACTATAGTATTACTATACGTACTATTAACATATATATTTATCTAAATTTCTATATTTACTATACGTGTTAAAACATACTAATCTGTATCACTATGAATATAAGAAATACTATTTACTATACTATACAAATACTAAAAGGTCATACTATAAAATAAAACACTATATGTCACTTATTTTAAGGACCTTTTCCGCCACTCGAGGCTCTACCTGCAACTGGGCACCGTGTGTGTCTTTGCGGCCTGGAGGGCATTTCTTTACAGCACCATCAGCGCCTTCAACGGTGTAGCTGGGACCAGCTGGACCAGCCAGGTGGTCCATTTCTGGTGGGATGTCGTTAAGTTCAATGGATTGGTTTAAGGGAAAAATTACAGGAAAACCCCATACACAAAATGGGAAAATCTATGGTTTCCGGTTTCGATTTTCCCTTAAACCAATCCATTGATAAGTGCTTCAAAGGGACTGAGTTCATGGTTAATTGACTGGGTGGGGGTTTCCTGGGAGATCCCACAATAGCTGGATGATTTATTTCATGTAAACTCCCATAAATGAGAACTGGGGGTACCCCCATGGATTGGAAATGCCCACATGGTTAATATGTGGTGAACACTATGAAACGACTATTCATGTGGTCAATATATGTGGTTGGAACTAGATATTTCATGGGAAAAGTGAAAATAACTGATAGCAACAATTAATACTAATTGGGATTACTAGTGGTTAAAAGGGGATTTGGCAGGGGTCTAAAACTTGAAATCTGATCATTAATCATAGCTGATTGATGATTATTATACGCTTTTAGCACGACCTCGGAGGTTGACGTCATTTTTCAATGGATAGGTATATAGGGCAACTCAAAGTTGGCCGACTTTTGCAGGTAGGTGCAGCTGGTAGCTGTGGCGCTTTTAAATTTTAACGGCGCTAACACTCTCCGGTTCCAACGCATTCAATGGGCATTTTTTTCGGGTTTAGGGTCAAGTTGTTGGGGTCTGGTGTGCTATCCGCGGCTTTTCATGTTTGGCGTTGTATCCAGTATCCATTTTTGGGGTGAAGTTTGATCCAAGCGAGTTGACCACTTTTTTGAGTTGGCTAAAACCGAAGAAATCCAAGGACTGTACGAAAATGAGGACAATATTTGGTTGGTGGTTTCAAACATGGCTTTCATTTTCCAATAATATATATATATATATGGGATAATCCTTCCCATTGACTTTCAATTTTTTTAAAGATGGTTAAAACCACCAACCAGAAATTTAACAGAACAAAAAGGGCACGTGGAGCTTCCCCAAGATGACCAAGATGGAAGATGTCGTGCATTGTCCCAGCAGGGACCACGAATGAAATCGGATGAGTTGAATTCATCTCATACAGATCAAACTTAGAACGACTAAATTGTTGAAGTGCTGTGCCCCAAATTATTTTGCGCTGGTAGTGAACAAGGCAGTTCTGAGGTTTTGAATGGCAATATCGTTAGATTGCAACAGGGGCAGTTACACTGTTTAGTATCCAGATGAGCAAGGGCTGAGTACGGAGAGTATACTCATGGGCTTAATTCCCGACAGTCGGACAGAATGACTGGTCATTTTGTGTAGGACAGGAAGCCATTAGAACATATTAGAACAATATACCCAGATGTGCTCACCATGGTGCTGGAATCTTTACCTACAAAACTGGCTCATTTTTTGGGTAAATGATGCAGGTTATGACTAACAGTTTGCCATGGAAAATCATCATTTTTCATATTTATAGGTAAAATAGGTAAATATTCCACCATGGAGCATCTGGGATGGGATGTTCCCAACTGAGCACCGTCACTCTCAGCAAGCAAACTAAGCACTAGTGCCGGTGCTCCATTGTGGATCTTTTATTAATGCATATGTAGTATGTTATAAATGTGTGTATATATATATATGTATATATATGTATATATATATATATGTATATATATATATATGTATATATGTACAGTAATGTACAGATACAGATATGGATACATGTTTGTTTTTCGCACTGGCTCACACAAAAACCCGAGGGTTTTTCCCGAGGGTTTTGAGTCCGGCCGAGGAGATCTTTGGTGTGAAAACCATGGGCCGCATCATGGGACTTTGCTTTGCATCTTGGGCTACATCCCATTGGTTGATATAGAAGGTGTTTGCACCTTTTTTTTTGGCAACCAAGGTATTAAATGACTGTAAAGGTTTACTTAAATGGTTATAATATGTTATAATATGTTCTAATGACTATAAAAGAACCATAAAAATCATTGGTCATATGGTTGTAGTAAATGTTTGCTGGTTCGTAAAGCCCATGAAGGACATGACTGGGGATGGGTCAAGTTGATTCAAGTTGCCTATGAAGTTACCATATGACTGGGAGCTCGTTTCAGCAGGATTGAACTCGTTGAACACTACCGAGTATACGAGGGACTTATAACGAAGAATTCAATGAAGATGGACGAACATTGTCGCTTTTCATTGCCCAGAGATATATTCCCCTGGTTTACACAATTGTTCAGTTTACCAAACGCCAATCCTCGTAGGTCATTGATATATCGCAAACACAAAGCAGCCCCCAATCATCACCTTTGCTGATATAATCATATTGAAACATGAATCATCATTATATTATTGTTCTCAATCATGTTTTCATAACATGTTTAATCAGAATCATGAATCATCATATTAAAACTTGAATCATCATTATATAACATCCTATTACCATGACTAGAAACATCAATTCTCCAAGAAAATCCTCCAAAATCGTTGCCCAACGTTCCCAGCATCGTTGCCCCAGGTCTTTTCGGGGCTCACGAATATGTTAACGGGGCCCATTGTGAACGCTGCGGTGGACTCCAATAACTTCGTGCCGTTGCTGGTGGAGGTGGAACATGTTCCGCATTTTTTGTAGATTTTCATGGTAAAAAACATGATTTTCATGGTAAAAAACATGAATTTCATGGGAAAAAACATGAATTTCATGGGAAAAAACCATGATTTTCATGGGAAAACCATGATTTTCATGGTAAAAAACATGAATTTCATGGGAAAAAACATGATTTTCATGGGAAAAAACCATGCTTTTCATGGGAAAAACATGATTTTCATGGTAAAAAACATGAATTTCATGGGAAAAAAACCATGATTTTCATGGTAAAAAACATGAATTTCATGGGAAAAACATGATTTTCATGGTAAAAAACATGAATTTCATGGGAAAAAAAACCATGATTTTCATGGGAAAACCATGATTTTCATGGTAAAAAACATGAATTTCATGGGGAAAAAACATGATTTTCATGGGAAAAACATGATTTTCATGGTAAAAAACATGAATTTCATGGGAAAAAACATGATTTTCATGGGAAAAACATGATTTTCATGGTAAAAAACATGAATTTCATGGGAAAAAACCATGATTTTCATGGTAAAAAACATGAATTTCATGGGAAAAAACATGATTTTCATGGGAAAAACATGATTTTCATGGGACAAAACATGAATTTCATGGGAAAAAACATGATTTTCATGGGAAAAACATGATTTTCATGGTAAAAAACATGATTTTCATGGGAAAAACATGATTTTCATGGTAAAAAACATGATTTTCATGGGAAAAACATGATTTTCATGGTAAAAAACATGATTTTCATGGGAAAAACATGATTTTCATGGGAATAAACCATGATTTTCATGGGAAAAACATTATTTTCATGGTAAAAAACATGATTTTCATGGGACAAAACATGATTTTCATGGGACAAAACATGATTTTCATGGGAAAAAAACATGAATTTCATGGGAAAAACATGATTTTCATGGGACAAAACATGATTTTCATGGGAAAAAACAATGATTTTCATGGGACAAAACATGATTTTCATGGGAAGAAAACATGATGTTCATGGGAAAAAACATGATTTTCATGGGAACCATGGGGGTTCAACATCTGAAGATGTTTGCTTAAGCCTGTATCTCCACATATCTCGACACATCATCGCTTTTTTGAGGTTAGTGATTTGATTCGAAGTTATCCGGATTCGTTTGAATCCTGGTATAACGGAAAACACAGAAAAATTGGGAGATTGAAACCTCCATTAGGATATGATCTGATGAGGCTAGAAGGCTTAGTCAGCAATCTCAGGTCGGTTCGTCCACAGACCAGCCAGGATTTGCTAATATTATGGGAATATATATATATATATATGTATATTATATATATATATATGTATATTATATATATATATACAAATATATATATATGTATATATATATACACACCTAGAAACTCTTTCGGCAAACAAATTGCCGGAGGCAAAATTCTGTTGAAGTTACGCCGGAAACTTGAAAAAACCGCCGGAATTCTGCCAAAACGCCCAAGAATTCAAACACTGCCGGATCTACGGTGTATTACGCTGGAACTATGGGCGATTATGCCGGCCGGAAACATGACCATACAAAAAAAAACAACTGCAAACCAGAATTGCCGGCGCCGGTTTAAACACGCCGGGAAGCATCAGAAAGTGCCTTTTACCAGGCAAAGTCGCCTTTTTCCTGAAAGGCAAAAATAAAAGGGCATTTGGAGTCCTTAGGTACGTATATAATATTATATATACACATAAAATCATAACTTATAACCAACAATATGAATCCCAAGCATTGTAATGGCGAGATATGAGATATGACAGGGATATAGGGGATATCTGATATCCGGCCAAATTAATTGTATTTGAGTTTGTCCAATGGATTGAGAGCAGTACCTTATTTTTGGACAGACCTATCGACTGTTGTTCTGAGATCAACATAAATTGTCCAAGGTTGGGATTATTAGCAAGTACTAAGCTTCAAAACAGAGGATTGCAAAGGTCCTTCTTGCAATTGGTCGGCAATCATCATGAATACTTGGGAGCCATCAATCACGTTCTCTTTATTTATTCATGTTGGGTATTTGTTTATATTTCTTTTGGGTAACACCAAGAAATCATCAAACACAAACAATAATTGCTAGCCTCTGGTAATTTAACATAGCCCACAGCTATGGAACGTGTCCCAGACAGAAAAAAACACATCTTTTGTTTGGAGATTTCCCAGCGATCAGGTTTTGCCATGTTTAGTTGCCCAGTCATGGACGCCTGGGCTGGTGAAGTGCTCAATGACTTTTTGCTGATTGGGGACAGCGCCTCTTTTGGGTTCTTCATCAACGATATGGACTAACTGGGATTTCATGGGGACAGGGTATGATTGTATGATATAATGACCTCAACTATATAACTATATTTGCTTCTCTGAGAATAGAGAATTCTGTCTACCCCGAATTTGCCAGTTCAATTGGGACAATTAAGATACGTCTTCCGATGAGTTGGGTGATGTTCTACGAGGACATTTACATATATTTACCAATGCCCCAGCTTTAGACTCCCATCATGAACTCGAGAAAAAAGCACCAGCAGAATCACTCCCGGACCCCCCCGCACAAATTTGGCTGGTAAAGAAAGAGGGAGAGAGAGACACACACATGGTCTACTCTCCGGTAATCAAACATGGCTTGCTGGAAAATCATCCATTTATAGATGATATTTTTTATCACAACTTCCTTTTATAGGTGAAATTCCATTGCCATGTTTGATTACCAGATACCATATATATTTTTTTCCCCTTGACAGCATATCACATCACTCAGAACCACAATGGCAGCACCAGCATGTGGCAGAGTCTTATCCCAATCCCGTGATCTATTTTGATCTACCCTCCAGTAGACTAATAATAACAGGTACATTGATTAACAGGTACATTATAACAGGTACATTGATTATAGATACTTATAGATTACCCATCATGACTTTTATGGCCATCCTAGTTTACCAGAAGCCCATGCCATGTCATCAGCCCATGCCATCTGCAGGGCATGTGTTTTTGCATCCCTTTGCCCATCATCTTCCAGTTGCTTCACATGAAGCGCTCGCGTCTCGCTGTGGACGTGGCGAGAACTCCCTTGGCGTCGTCGGTTAGAGGTACTCCCAGATCTCAGCATAAAGAGACTTGGCAACGAAAGGGATTCTGTGGTACTCAAGTTTAGGACATGCATACATAATCATATATATATATATACATATGGTGTATATCTATATATACATAATAATTATACTATAGATCCAAGAAAAAATAGGGCGTGTCATTCTCAGGCTTTTAATTTGGTTCAATTTATGTATTGGAAATCAACGCCAAATGAATTGTGTCTGTATATTTATATATTATATATATATATCTACATCATATTCATTGAACTAGCTTCTTTGCTTATTATGGCGGAGTTGTTGAGGTATGCAGCCACGTGTTCCCACCTTGGATTTTGGAGGTGTCCCCTGTCACCATCGACATGTTGGAGACTTTGTGGGTGGGCTGTCGTAGATGACCGATGTGCAAATCGCTCTTCCCACCTCTGCTTGTTTTTTTCAAGATGTTTCTGGTGATTCATTCCTTCAAGTGGCTTGATTCGGGTTGATGGTCCCTAAATCGGATTGGCGTTTTTGAGCGGGCTTGAGATCAGACAAATTACGCTAGGGCACACCCTGCTTATGTTGTCTTGTTTGGTCAATTTTCATGGGGTTACTCAGCTATACCCAGCTAAAAGTGAAGTTGTGACTGAAGGGCATTGAAGCTAACTTTTGCAATCTTTTGCTATTTCTGGTGATGATATGGTGATACCATCGTATACCCAACATTTAAATGACCCTTTATGATTCTACAGGTATCTATGATCAGGTCTTTTCCAATTTCCTCCACATTTATTTTTCTATGGTCTTATAATCGATATTATCATGAAGCATATTGATGTTGTAGTTTTTCCATAGGTTTTCCCATCATTTTCCAGAACCAAAAGACGGTTCAATCCCACGGTGGATACCTCGGGGCCAAGGACATCTTGGATCCCATGGGTGCGTGACCCGGTCGCATCCCAGTGGTTGCCCAAAGACATAGCTGGTGAATTTCGATTCCCCAAGATATTTTTCAGTGGGTTTTGACATTTTTAACACATCCCCAAATGTGTGTTTCTAGATCCAATTATACATGAAAATGTTGGTATTACAAATAGCTATGGAACTACTTAGTAATACATAGTAAGTGCTTAGCTATGACTATGAAACTGTTGGTTCTTATAGATCCAATTACATAGCTATAAAGAATCGTTGCTAAATTATTTGATACCTCCGTTTTTGGACATAGCGCCATTGTTGCTAGAAACAAAGAAAAAGTTGTTTTAATTGCTGCATCTTTGTGATAAGCTACTCAGCTACTCAAACCATTAAAGTCCCCACTTTATCATCCATGCTACCGTTTTACTCCCCATTTAACCCCGGATTAATGAACATTGGTTGATGAAAAAAAGGACGTCCCCTCCAATCAAAAAGCCACAGGTTTGTTAATTCGCGGTTGATATTGATAATCATGTTCCGCATTAAAATTGCCACTTGAAAGTAAATCCTAATTGTTGCTGTTAAAATCTAAATTCTTGCTGGTGAAATTATCATCTTCAATTTTTGACTGCAACAAAAAGTATGTAAAAGTCTAATGTTTACTTTTTTTTTCCCATGTGAAGCATTCATCATATCATCATCATCATCATCATCATCCTCATCATCATCATCATCATCAGTGTCAACCATTCATAAGATGTTTTCATTGAACCATCATTCCAATCTTTGGGAACAGCAGGTCCCTAGGGTCCCTTTCCAACCGCACCGCAGGATGTCCATCACGCGCGCGCGCTCTTCCACCTGGCCATCGGAGGCCATTGAGGAGGAGATTTCACGTGGTGCCACCAGCCTGGCGGAGATACAACCTTGAGCTCCTCATAGGTTTTTGGCGTGATTTCTATTGTTTATTTATATATATATATATTTGATTTAAACATATTCATATTTATATATATATATGTAATATGTATATAACTGTATATATGTATAGTTATGTGTATGGTTTAGTTATGGTTTATTTGAGCATTGTAATGTCTATTCATGATTGGTTGTTGGGTTTACCTTGGATTGACCGAAATTGGCGATTGAAGCAGTAAACATGACAAACATCTGGACACACAATTGCAAAACCCCAGGATGTAGTCAAGATTGGGGATTTAAGCAACAAATTTCGAGATCTTAAGCTCCACAGAACAGTCTCAATCATTTAGTCTGTTTATATAGTCTGATCAATCGAAATTGGGGATTGACACTGCTTAAATGATAATAATCACGGGGGCTTTTTGCTTCAACAAACATCTGGTTGAAACAGAACATACTCTCCGGATTTCGACAACAACATGGGCATTCAAGCAACACATTTGGGATTTTGAGTTCCAAACATGTGATTTCATCAGCATAGCCAGAATCCATTTAGCTATCCAGAAGGGATGTTTTAAACAGTAAAGATAGGAACCATGTTCCAACAATCGTCTCATAACAGAAAAAAAACACATTAAATCAGCGAAACAAGGAGCTTCAAAAATGGTCACTTTCACCACGGAACACGTTGTACGGACAATACTTTGGGATAGGAAATATTGAAATATATAATTTATGATATTAACATATATATATATATGAATATTAGCGGGAATTATATCCTAGTAGCTTGCAGTAATTTCACATGGCCATAGAGCTTCCCTCACTTGTAGATGATGTTCCTTGTTGAAATGGGAATGTTCCACTGCTATCTTTACTGAAGAGGATCCTATCCAATAACTTTAACCGGACAAATGCATAGACTTGGAGCGGTGGTATCCAGATTCGGATACCATGTCCAAAAGGTTCTCTCGATGTAGTGCACCGAAACGGTAACGCAGACAGTTCCAACTTCTTCCCTGAGAAGAATGGTATGTATCCGCTGCGTTACTGAAAGTGAGGTTTGGATGATTTTTGTTGGACTTGTATGGCAACCTACTCCGAATTTATGCAATAGCAAATGCATGATTGGGACTCGGGACACCAATTGTTGGGTAGATAAATGAATGTAGATACTTGGATATCCGCCATATCCGCCTGCAAAGTTGCGATGGAAGAGAAATACAGAACTGGAAATATAATCAGCAGTGTGTAGTAAGGAACCTGGCTGTAAATTTGTTTGGAGACAACTCACTATGATGGCCTCTGCTACTAGGCTGAACATGGCTGAACTATTGGCTTGTGCCAAAAAATTGGGAATCCCAATTATACCACAAAAGTGATGGTTTACAGTTTACAGTGAGATAGCCAGTCAGTTGGCGGTCTCCACACTTCAAGACATCTTGACCCCAGACGTCTCTACACATCCCAAGTTGCTGCGACCAACCGCCTCACTTCAAAGTGCCAAGTCGCGGAATGGAGTTCCCGTTGGCAGAAAACCCTAAGGGATCCATCATCAGAATGCTGTTGGTTGATAATGCAAGGTTTGTCTGTTGGTTCAGTGGTTCTTTCAACCAACTTGAACAAACTCATGAAACTGCACCGAACACATGGAGGACAACTTGAACAACCTTATATATTGAAGTGTCTCTTGAAGATATTGTTTTCTCAGTGCAACTTGCCACAGAGCAAGTGAGATGTGGCCTAGATTTCCGGACCTAATTGAAGATTTCTACAATCAGTCTGCAGACTTGCAGAAGAAATGTTTGCAGTGTGTACAGTCAATTGCTTTGCGGAACTCAGCGAGTTGTTTGCCTCAGTGACAAACATTGCAGCCAGTTTCCTTGGGTGAAGTCTGAAAAATACAGCAGACATTATAGCGACCCTCACGTCGCAACGTCAGTGGAATGATGATTAATGGGTGTGAGTGACTATGCCCACACTGCCATTCAGAGTTCCATGGTTATATCATGTGTTCCCTGGCAAAGAGCGTAGCATGAGAGTGGCCGAATTCATGGGTGAAGACGGACCTGCCGTTTACTCTATTTTTGGTGGCGTCCTTTTCAATCTTGGCATACCCCTGCTGATCGGACCATTTCGGATGGTATTGTTCAGGTCAAGTTACGTTTATGGTTTTCGGATGTGATTGGAACATATTGGAACACCCAACCATCGAGATCTCCACAAACGATCCCAAATGCTTCAGAGAAAAGCCAAACATCACGAACAGCTATCCCAAGAAGATCCCAATGGAATTGGTATCCTCAAAAGCTGGTATCATGCTTTATTGAGATACACTAAGCAGAGCCAGGGTGATGATCCCCAGCAATCGCAAAAACCTCGATCCATTCCTGGTGGATTTTCCTGGAGGGTAAACTACAGTAGTGATTAGCCTCGGTATATCTCAGCTGATGCTCGAACTACCTACCCTCTGGTAAACTAACATAACTATGGAAAATCACCTTTCTTCATAGGTAAATCAACTATGAATGGCCATTTTCAATAGCTATGTCGCTATGTTAAATAACCAGAGGGTAATCACTTAGTCATTCAAATTTATTGTGTATCAGTCATTTTCAGGTTCAAAAAGCCTTTTTCGCTGACTAGAATCATGTTTTTTTCCTATTTGTGTTATGAAGTCACCTGGACCATGATGGAACAAACTCATCCCCAACTCCAGTTCCATTTGGACGAAAGATCTCCAGTTCCATTTGGTCGAAAAACCAAGGCCCCATGGCATTCGACAGCTCCATGTTATCACTGGGCGGCTGCTCTTGGCTCCGAGGCCGTGAAAACCTGAAGAGTTGGGCATTTTATAAGGTGATTTTCTTAGCTGATTTTTCTTGAATTCACTATCCCAGATGTTTGATGATGTTTAAGTATGGTTTCTTTTGTTTTCTTGGAAGTCGTTGTTGTTAAAAAAAACTGGATGATGGTTTAACAGATCTGTCTAAGTGGTTTTCCATTGGACATGGGAGGTTGATCCAGTTTTTTTTTGTTTTGGGGGGAACTGAAACATTTTGTGGCAATATACCCTCTGGTTATTTAACGTAGCCATGGAAAATCCCCACACTAAATGGAGGTTTCTAGCTGGGAAAATCATCTATAAATGAGCCATCTGTACCATGGCTATGTAACAAATAACCAGAGGGTATAATATAAAGTTCTCTTCAAGTAGGAATAAACCACATATTCAGAATCTATTCAGAATCTTAAGAGTCTGATAGTGATACTAAAAGGATAAATTCCATTCAGTCATGCTTGGGGATAAGGTGCACCAGTCAAGGCCGCGCTGTGTCGAACCGGAAGATTTTCAAAAAGGCTGTTCTATGCTTCATTGAAGATCCAGAAAACACAAATGAAGAACTCGTTTTATGTTTTTTCCGCTTTTTTTGAGCAATCCTGTTGGGGGAACCTGAACCTGGTCAAGTCATGTACTACTAATAGTGATTAATAGTTGTTTGACGTTGTTTCTTTGGAACCCCAAACAACATCAAATCAATGGTGGAAGGAATCTTCGAACTCTACTTCGTGGGTTGTTAGTCCCCGCGCATATCCCCTATCCTTCTGGGGGACTGGGAAAGTCTGGGTAGGTTGATTGGGCTATTCGGCTATGGATGGAGGAGGAGGGATAACACATGATATCCAGCACCATGTTTTTCTTGCCGAAGATCGAAGAAGCTCATATTCCAAGCTCATTGGTGAACGTTTACCCTCTGGTAAACATACAAAAAGCTATGGAAAATGGCCATAGAAATAGTGAGTTTTCCCATGAAAAATGGTGGATCTTTCCATAGTTATGTGGCTGTTTACCAGAGGGTACCCCTTGTATATCCTGAAATGTTCCCATGCATTCCCCTGTGGTATCGGTACCGTTCAGACAAAGCATGACCTTCAGCCTGGATGGATTGTGTTTATAGGCGAGAACTTGGCAGCTCTGAGTTTACTTCCCTGGAAGGCATCGGCAAAGGACGGCCCGGCTTTTTTTTTTTCGGCAAAGGAAGACATTTGTTGGTGAATTAATGGGATTTTACTGGGATCTAATTAATAGCTGGTTGGTGGTTTGGAACATTTTTTATGTTCCATGATATATGGGATAATCCGGATAATCCTTCCCATTGACGAACTCATATTTTTCAAGATGGTTATTGCACCACCAACCAGTTGTGAATGTTAAAGATGGTATGTTAAGACAAGGATTTTTATCTATGACATTTAGGTGAAATCGGTGGGATAGCAATGCTTCTTGGGTGATTCTCTCTTAGATTTGTTTCAACATGACATACATCTACTCTGAGATCTTCATGGCTAAGCAAGCACCGTGCAGGTGCTTATGTATGAGTTGGTTTCAATTGGTTTCCTTCAAGACAGGGCGCAATCGGTAGCCGGTATGGGTGTTGCGTGGATGTCTCTGATGCTTGTGGCTTGAAACGACTCGTTCAAATCGTGACGACTTAGGGTGAATTGCTTCACCAACCTGATCCATGTTGAGTCGATTCAGACCGGTGCGAGAAATTTTTGATTGCTCAGCACCGCTACTAATTGTTGAGTGGCTTTCCGACTGATCTGAGGGACAGGCTTCTGTGGATGTTCTTTTGGGGGCTCTTCCAGCCCTGCTAGCCGTTTTTGCTGCGCAGGCAATCCACCTCCAATATCTCCGAACTTCTTTTTCATTTGGCCGGCACACACCCAAAAGACAAACGGATATGTGGGTGGGTGCCGCATCATCTTGGTTTGTATGTCACTTGCTTGTCGGCTTTTAGCTACTGCCTCGTGGTTAGAGAGGAGATAACCTCTGAAAAAGTTTTTTAGACACCAAAAAACAAAGAATCCGGAATCTCATCACTCCACTATAATCATCATAATCATCATAATCATCATAATCCTCATAATCCTCATAATCCTCACAATCCTCACAATCATCATAATCCTCAAACAAAATATGCATTGTAATAATGATATTTAATATTCAATAATTGCAAATACTAATATTTGATCAATTTTAATCATCATAATCCCAACTAATCCCAAGGAGCCTCGATTGGCTCTGGTGGCCACGGGCACATCCAGAAGTGCTGCTGAGGTGGCGCGCCTGGCGTTTTCTTCATATCTGGATCTATGGGACCCATGGGACGTTGAGCAAGAAATCGTGGGTATATGATAAAAAGATCCTGGGATATCATGGGTGTGGGAATGTACATGGGAATATGTGGGTGTACATGGACTATATATATAATATAATATATATATATATATATATAATATATATAATATATATAATATATATAATATATATAATATATATAATATATATAATATATATAATATATATAATATATATAATATATATAATATATATAATATATATAATATATAATATATATAATATATATAATATATATAATATATATAATCTATATAATATATATAATATATATAATATATATAT